ATCTGAACAGGACGAGCATCGAGAATATCCGCAACGAACTGATTAGGTTTCAAGCTTAGAATCTTATCCGTCAGAAATTTGACTCGCTCTCTCCAATCCTTGGCCTTAATCAAAGCCACTTTATTCATCTTCTTCACTCTCCTTCTCCGACTCGCCACGGCGGTTTCATCTTTCGTCTTTTGATGCTCGCTGGAGCCAATTGAATCGACGAATTCAGCTGAATCCGGTGTATCGGTGGGAGAAACCGGAGAAGAAAGAGGTTGTGACGGTGTTGAAGCTCTGGAATCATAAGTCTCACGGAGACTCAAATGTGGCCATCGGACGGCGGGAGAAGCTCGACTATAAGTGAATTTCTGGGTAGAGCTAGTGCTGATGTTCCCTTGTTCATCTTTATTCTCAGGATTAAGAGTGGCGCGAACGGATAAAGCAGGAAAAGCTAGAGCCCCTGCAGAAACCGCCATTAATATCTTCTCTAAGCTTCATAAATCCGTTATAGATGACTAGTAGCGAGAGTGGTGGTGCTCTTCTTTAGGAGTCCCTGAGTAACAACTCCTTGCTGTCTTAGATTTTTATCAACAAACACCTTGCCGTTTTACCGTGATTAAGCTGAGCAATGAAATGATATGGATGAAGAAGAAAGTTACAGTGAAGATCATTTATTATAAGACCAATTTCAAGATCACTAATGTAATTGCAACCAAAATCGTCACCTTTTTGATCACAATGTGGCCCAAGATAATTCATCACAATATTTTGAAATGATGGATAAACCTTGAAGATGGAACCTTTATAAGACCAATCCCAAGATCACGAATGTAGTTGACCTTTTGATATGGTGATGATAATCAATGGATCAGCGTTTTGACTTTGTTGTTCTTTTTCTGGAAATTAAACAAAAATTGCCAAAATAGAGGTCTGGGAGGGACTAATACAATACTAATCCAGTCTGGAAAAATTGGAGAAATTAAAAACAGCTAAATATTTCTGGATAATTTGTAATACTCATCAGTCTTCTTCCTCAATCTCCTCATCTTCTTCTTCATGTGTCTCTAGTAACGACCAATACCCCAGACTCTGACAACTCCATCAGTGTAACCACTGAACAATGTGCTTCCATCTGCACTCCAGTTCAAGCTTGTGCAGTAATTCACCTGCATTTTCATTACACATTCCCATTAGATACCATTATCAATCTCTTCCTATGTGTTAACATCAAAGTCAAAACCTTTGGAGCTAATGGGCAAGGGAAAAGATTCTTATGAACATACTTATGCAATTTCTAACCAAAATGTGACTTTTTTGTCATAACCAAATATAAATGCATCACTACTTTCGGTGCATTCCCTAAACCTATCAATTCAAACGATGATTTGTATAAACAGAGAACCAATTACTATCGAACAATAAGTAGAAATCATATGAATAATGTCATACCTTCTTTTGGTTACCAGTTCCAACACCACCATCAGTCTTCTCTGCCTCAGCCTTAAGATCAACCTTCAAGTCCTCAACAACAGACTTGCTCTCAAGATCCCATATCTTAATGCTATTCTCAGTAGCAGCACACAACCAGTATCTGTTAGGACTGAAGCAAAGCGAGTGAATAATCGAGCCAGCCTCAAGCGAATACAACTTCTTTCCTTCAGCCAAATCCCACAACAAGATAACACCATCTTTCCCACCACTGGCACATAGCGAACCATCAGGCGAGACAGCCACGGTGTTGAGATAACCAGAGTGACCAACAAGAGAGTTCCTCAGCTTACAGTTCTGGAGATTCCAGACTTTCACGGTGTGATCCCATGAAGCAGAAACAATGGTAGGCACAAGCGTGTTAGGGCTAAACCTCACACAGCTAATCCATTCCTTGTGACCATCTCCTTGCTCAGAGATCGTGTACTTGCATTCACCGAGTGTGTTCCACAGCTTGATCGTACGGTCACGAGACGCTGATACGATCTGACGGTTATCAACAGAGAATGCTACAGAGAGCACATCTTTCGTGTGTCCGACGAATCTGCGAGTGGAGACACCAGTAGCGAGATCCCAGAGACGGAGCTCACCGTCCCAGCTTCCGGAGAGTGCAAACTGACCGTCCGATGAGAGAACAACATCTTCGACGAAGTGAGAGTGACCTGTGAGCCTACGCTGAGCAACACCGTAAGACTTGTCGTCCTTGGTGAGTTTCCAGAGGATGATGGATTTGTCACGCGACGCTGTGACGATGATGTCGGAATTGTCGATCGGTGTAGCGATGGCGGTGACCATGTCGGTGTGGGCGCGCATAGTGCCCTTCAATACGAGTCCCTCGGCCATGGTTTGAGGTTTTGGGGGAGAGACTCTTAGGGTTTCTTCTTCTTACTCACGAAAATGGCGTAACAGAGCGAGAGATTTCGAGGTCGACTGAAATGTTTGGTATTTATACTCTAGGTCTAAAAATGAACAAATTAGGGTTTAGTGTGGTTTCTGCGAAGAGACTGACTTATTTGGCCCGTACAGGTTTAAGACGTTGAATTTGCTTTTACGGGCCACATGGGCCTCTTCCGATAAACTTTTGTTGGAGCATTTTTGTTGTTTTGTTGTGGAGTTGAGAAATGTTTGATCACAGAGGAGACATAAAGAGCAATTTGAACGAATTCGATTGAAATGTACAAGAGTTTTCTAAAACACAAATAACACGATCGTAGTTTGTCCATAATTTAGCTTCATTGATTCTTATAAGGTTTTAATCGTGGAGTGCACAGCACACAGTGGCTTTGTGATGACCTTGGTATACCTTCACTTCTTTACCCGCTGGCATCGACCATAATCTAGCCGTCATGTCTGATGATGCTGTACAACATCACAGAATAAAAACCAGTTTAAAGATTGTTCTGTTAAGTTTTTCAGTGGTTTACTTTAAGAGAGAGTGGTACCTGTTACAAGAAATTCTCCATCCACTGAGAAGACGCAGTCCCAGACCCATCTTTGATGTCCTGTTAGATAAGATTGGTGAGGGTGTAAGAGATGATAATGGAGAACGAATCTTGTTAACAATAATATGGAGACCATACCTGTTAAAACTTTCTCTAATTTGAAACCATCGACATTCCATATTTTGACGGTTTTATCAGACGATGCGGTTGCTAGATACCTACTAACAAATATGTAAGAGCTTTGAAAGGGAAAGGCTGAAGAAAAACGGTTTCAGAGGAAGTATAAGAAACACATTACTTGTTTGCAGGAGAGAGAAGGCATTTAAGGATGTGGCCATTATGAGCTTGCAGCTTATGAAGGGGTTCAAACTCGGTCATCGTCTGAAAAAAAAGGAATTAGTAAATGGCATGGACAATCACAGGAATGAGACTAAAGCATGGCATGGTTAAATCAGGAACACTACCTGTTTTCCACGCAACAAGCGCCATACATAACATGTTCCACGGTTGTTAGCAGCAACCACCATTGTCCCATCCCACATAACCGTTAAAGACCGTACAGCTGTATCAACTTCTGGTACCTATAGTTACACCCCAAGTGATTATCTAGGGATACTCAGAAATGAAACTAGGATAAAAAATTAAGACGTGTCAAAGGCAATTACCAGTTCGCAGCTACACGAATTTGCTCTGAGATCCCATACACGTATATTTCCATTTTGGTCTCCAGATATCAATTCAGTCTGTAACAAAAAAAACAAAGTTCAAAATAAAGACAAAGGAGATAGTGATAACAGCTGAGACAACTCTCAGAATCAAAGCAGTTTCAACAGTAGCAATAGCACAACTCTCTTAAACATAAAATGAAGCTGATTCCCACAACACAACACTAACAGATGACTTCATGTACCTGATTTGGGTGTAAAACAACTGTGTTAACTGCGGCAACACTTTCATACTCCTTTTGGCAACCGGGAGCCCTGCAATTTGGTTTAAGAGTCAACTTAAGGATGTATGCTTCAGTTAGTGTAACCTTCTGACTTGTGAGGATTTTCGTAACTTTGTATTCAATGTCCTTGCCTTTTTATAGGATCCACACTTGAATGAATGTATTAATTAACATTAAGCTAAAAGAAACAAACATGAAGATGGCATAATCTACCTCAAGTCCCAGATCTTAACTGTACCATCCTCTGATCCTGAATACATCCATTTCCCATCACATTGGAATCCTACTGCCATAACATTGTTGGTGTGTGAATCATAAGTCATCACCTAATTAATACACACGACGAATCCATCAAAATCATTCAAGCAAGGCAGAAAGAAAACAAAACACCACATGGAAAAAAAGAAAGGATTTTTACAGGTTGAGGACTGTTGGAGTTGACATCAAAGAGCCGTATATGAGGATTACAAGCTGCAGCTAGATAACGCTTATCTGGGGTTATCTCAAGCCTATTTACATGCTGCAAATACAAACATCAAAAACATTAATTTGTCTTATTATAACTCAGAATTCACAAACTCAATGGAGAGAGAGAAACAGACCGAATCAGGATACTGAATGGTACGGTAACAGCGACCAGTTTCGGCTTCCCAGAATCGAATCGTGTGATCATAGCTAGCTGTAGCAAGAATCACAGAAGGCTGACTCATTTTCGATCGATTTTATCCCGATCGAAATAATGAACCAACCATTTCGTGATTTTTGCTGATTCCCAGAAACCAAACAAACCCCTTTTTCGAAAAAATCAACAGAAGAACAAGCTAGGGTTTCCTGATTGAGGATCAAAAACAGGAACACAAAGAAAGAAAAAAAAAAAGGGCAGAGAAGTGTAAATTGAAGAGAAGAAAGTGGCAGAAGAAGAAAATAGGGTTTTTCCGAGCTTCTCTCATAATTTAATTAGCGCGGGGTGGTTTTAGTATAAATATATATCTGTTGGGGTTTATATAAACATATGTAAATAAGTAAAGGGTTATTTTGTTATTTATATAAGTTAAGAGGATAAAAACAAAACTCTGTTTGTTGTTCACTGACAGTATATAACGGCTGAGACTCATTGGAAGCTTTTTGAAACGGCGACAATGGCGGCTACGAAAGCTCTGGGATTTGTTTTGCCGACGGGATTATTTATACAGCCGTCGTTGAACCGTCGCGGAGGAGTTAGGGTCTCCGTCTTCCAGTGTTCCGTTTCTTCACTCACCTCTACAGGCACCGATTTCCCCATTTCCTTATTTGCACTGTTTGAAATTGGCTTTCGATTCAAATTTGATGTATATATGATTTGTTTTTCAGATTACTTGTAGGCTCTTGATTCGTGCCTTAATCATTGTTTTGGTTATTGATTCTTTTAGTTTAATAAGCTGAAAATGTGTGTTTTTACTGGTATGTAGGACTTCTGGAGAAACCTTGGAGCTCATACAATGCTAGGCTTGTGTTAGAAGATGGCTCTGTGTGGTCGGCTAAGTCTTTTGGTGCTTCTGGAACCCGTGTTGCTGAATTGGTTTTTAACACCTCTTTGACAGGGTGAGCTTCTTGTTTTTTTTTGGTTAAGTTTTGTTTTTATCATCAGTTATGTCTTAACATTGCTTGATGTTTTTGCTTGATCTTTAATGGAGTCTGATTGCTTTCTATCTTTCTTAAAGGTATCAAGAGATTCTGACGAGTCCCAGGCTAGTATGCCACTTATTGGAGAAAATGAATCCGGCATGCCATTTTGTAATCTGAATGCCACTGTAAATGTGATATTCCCAAATTACCCTTAATGAAATATCAGACGATTGGTACAACTAAGAGATGATAGTACAACTAAGAGATGATTGTACAACTGGTACAGATAGTATAACTGAGAGATAATAGGAGAACTGGTACAAATGGTACAAATGAAAGATAATAGTACAATTGGTACAAATGGTATAACTATAAATCGGTACAACTGGTACAAATAGTTATGGACAACTGGTACAAATGGTTCTACTGAAACAAAGCAATTTGTAATTCTAAACCCTAATTCTAAACTCTAGCGTCGTCACACTCAATAATTTGTCTCTTCTTGCTTTGTTCACTATCGTTGTCGCCGATTATCACCATCACCCTTCCTCGTCGAAGTTTGTGGACCGTCTTCTCTCACCAAACGATTGTGCACTACAAATGACGAAAGCACGAAGAGAAATCCATGGAGAAGAAGCTTGAAGAGAGATCCATGATTTTTAAATCTCAGAAATCCATGGAGAAGAAGCATGAAGAGAGATCCGATCTATAAAGAAGTGCGAAGAGAGATCCAAGAAGAAGAAAAGATCTAGAGTTTTATTGATGATGATGATGGAGAAAAAGAGAATGAAAGATCTAAAAAACCCAGAAAAAGTAAAGAAGAAGGAGAAGAAAAATAAGAGGAGGCGTGAAAGAAGAAGAAGAAGAAGAGTAGTTATGTTATTGGATTGATAAAAGTAAGGGTAAGTATACGTAATAACTAGATCATCACCCGTACTACAGTACGGGTTGAATTTCATTTATTACAAAATTTATAAATTTTATGTTTTAGAATAAAATTGTGATATATTATAATAGTAAGTGAAAAAATAATATTTTTTTTGTCAATCCCTATATATAATATTAGAATGAATATATATTTTTTTTTTCTATAGTATTCAATTATGGATATTTTTTTTAAGATATGAAAACGGAAAATAAGATTATTTTTTTAAAAAACTAATATTGTTTGAACAATGAGTTAATTTATGTTAACAACCACAAAATGAGAGTGCATATAATTTAGTTAGATCAAAAATTAAAATATCATAAATGAATCGCATCTAAAACGTAGATTATTTTGAATTACTTAAGAAAATTAGCTATTATTTTGAATTAATTTAGGAAATTATTTTTTCAAATTCTGATTCATTTGTTGTTGAAATAGAGATTTGTTTGAGCTAATACGGGATTTACCAATTATTTACATAATCAAATATGTTATGAACATATATTTTATATATAATAATACCAAATTCAATCCGTGTGTGGAGTCTATATATTCATTTTACAATCCCTATGAAAATATTGCGGCATAATCTATTATTTATTATTTTCAAAATTGCTTGCGGAATCAAATTTTCAAACATTTAGAAGTGTCAAATCTTATTTAACCCATCTTATCATAAAATCTTAAAATGCCGTCTGTTATAAGGATCATAACTTTTACCAAATGATACATTACATTTAACCTGCCGCCTACTATAAATATTTTAAACATATCTTTTTAGAAAATCAAATTAATGTATTTATAATTTTTTATCATTTTAATCTATTAAATATTTATGATATTCTTTAATATATTAAATTAAACTTTTTAAAAATGTTCCAAATTAAAATCTTTAAAATTTTTTATTGTACTATGTAAAATTATGAATTTTTAAAAAAAATGATATGAAATTAAATATAATATTCAAATAGTTATAAGGATCATAACTCATTTCATTATATAATATATTATATTCAACCCGCCGCCTATTATAAATATTTGTTTCAAAAAATAAAATTAGAGTATTTATACTTCATAAATTTTTGATCTATTAAGTATTGATGATATTTAAAAAAAAAAAGGAATATATTACTCAAATATGAATTTTTGACCCGTTAAATTTGTTCTTTCATACATTGAATAATTTATATTCGTTTATAAAAATTCAAATCTTGGTATATGCGGAAAAAAATTTACTTTTTTTTTTTATTATATAGATGATATAATGATTTATTTATTTATAGAAATAGAATCATATAAAGATGAGAGGTGAAGTATAATGATTAATAACAAATTAATATGGTAAGTTCGATATCAAATCTTATATGTTCATTTTGATTGGTCATTCTTTTTAAAGAAATTAATAATAGATTTTTGTTTTTATAATTAAATTGCATAAAATAGTATTTGACTTGTTTATCCTTAATGAGTTGAATTAATTTACTCTATAAAATTTTATTTCTAATGGCATTCTTAAGTAAATTTTTATAAAAGAGAAGGTTAGTTTAGGGTATCTTATAAAGTGTACTCCCCAAATAATAGTATAGGATTAGATTAGGGTAAGGATTTTTTGTCTTTTCATATTTATTTGATTTAAATTAATTTTTTCACGAAATTAAAATTAGACAAGTGGCATTCTAGGTTTTATTTTCTCACATAGTGGCTTTCTAGCCATTGTTTCGATTCTGACTGATCCTAGTTATGCTGGACAATTTGTGCTAATGACAAATCCTCAGATCGGTAACACCGGTGTCAATCCCGGTGAGTAGAAATTCCAGTTTGAAGTTTTTGAAACTTTCTTCCATACTGTATATAGTGTTCTGACTTTTAAATATGTTGTCTTTTTCTTTTCCCCAGATGATGAAGAATCAAGGCAATGTTTTTTGGCTGGTTTGGTGATAAGAAGTCTTAGCATCAGGTAAACATATCAAGTCTGATACCTCATACCTCCAAGAATATTTAGTCTATTGGAATCTCTTTCCGTTTTTCAGTACATCTATATGATAAATTTTGCAAATCACAATCTTTGCAGTACCTCAAACTGGAGATGTATGATTACACTTGGTGACTATCTAGCAGAGAGGAACATTATGGGAATCTGTAAGTGTGTTTGGTTATTGGCACTTAATTTAGATTTCTAGATATTATAACTGGGTTTAGAACTTTACTCATTTTAATCCTACCAGATGATCTTGACACACGGGCAATAACCCGTCGATTAAGAGAAAGCGGCAGTCTTAACGGTGTGCTTAGCACTGATGGATCTAAAACCGACGAGGAACTTTTGCATATGTCCCGCTCTTGGGATATCGTAGGTCCGAATTCTTTCACTGCCCTCCTTAAAATATGATCAGCGTGGAATATGTGATTGAGCTCTGTCTATCTGCTTGGTTAATTATTTTAGGCCTTGATCTAATAAGCAATGTTTCGTGTAAATCTCCCTACGAATGGGTTGAAAAAACAAATCCTGAATGGGAGTTTAACACAACCTCCTCACATCACAAGGAATCCTACCGAGTGAGTTTTACTTTCTCTTCTCGAATTCACATTCTCATCAATTTCCTCACTACCTTCTAATTCTGTTTTCATACTTCCACTTCAAAAGGTTATTGCATATGATTTCGGGATCAAGCAAAACATCCTAAGACGCTTGGCATCATACGGCTGTGAAATCACGGTTGTCCCATCAACATGGCCAGCTGCAGAGGCACTTGAAATGAATCCAGATGGAATTCTTTTCAGCAACGGTCCAGGAGATCCTTCTGCAGTGCCTTATGCAGTTGAAACGGTTAAAGAGCTTCTAGGAAAAGTTCCTGTCTATGGAATCTGTATGGGTCATCAGTTACTTGGACAAGCTCTTGGAGGTAAAACCTATAAGATGAAGTTTGGTCATCATGGAGGAAACCATCCAGTTTGTAACAACAGAACCGGCCATGTCGAGATCAGTGCTCAGGTATGCTTCGTTTACTTTCTACAGTATACTACCACACAAAACTAGCAAAGTCTAATCTTTCAATTGTAATATATTTTCTAAGTACTATGGGAAAAATAGAAACTATTGATCAAAACTTAGTTATACATGTAACTCTAAGAACTTGTGTGTTGTTACATGGCTGTCAAATCAGCTTTTCACTTCCTAGTACAGTAAAAAAAACGTCTCTCTTCATGTTTGCTGAAGATTTGGATTGATTTTACTTGTACGGATTTTGGCAGAACCATAACTATGCAGTAGACCCAGCTTCTCTCCCCTCCGGTGTCGAAGTGACTCATGTCAATCTCAACGATGGAAGTTGCGCTGGTCTCTCTTTTCCGGCAATGAATGTCATGTCTCTTCAGTATCACCCTGAGGCTTCTCCTGGACCTCATGACTCCGATAACGGTATTACACTATTCTTTTCCCTCTTGTCTGGTAACTATCAAAACGCAAAGGCTATGCATTAATCTTTGCCTAATCTTTTCATATATGCAGCATTTGGAGAGTTTGTGGAGCTCATGAAAAGATTTAAACAGAGCACTTGATCTCGGGTAAAACAGTGATCAGGGAAGGAGTTTTGTTTAGGTGGATTGAAGTTGGAGTTGCGAAGTTTTTTTTTGTGTCGTGTGAGAAATAGAATATCATTATGACTGCCGAAATAAGACAATTTAGTTGAGAAACTTATGCAAGTTTGATATTAATACTAACATCAAAAGTAGATTGCTTGCCATTTGGTTAGGAATTGGTCTGCGGCATTTTCCACAAGTGTGGTTTCCCTGGCCAATCCACTTGTAATGTGTATTTTGTAAATAACGCAAAATGTGCATTAGAAGTGGATTGGTCAAGAGAACCGCACTTGTGCAAAATACCGCAGTCCAATTTCTGACAAAATGACAAGCAATCCATTTTGGATGGCTTGTCTGTATCGAGCCATCATGTAAAAAAATAGAGACTACGGTTTTGTTTTTTAACCAAAGCCAAAGAGGGAAAGAACCTCTAGTACCTGATTTCGTAAGCTATATTTATGGATCCCAAAATTTGGGTTTCTGGTTTATATATATTTTTCTTCCTTATTTTGGATTTTCTGGTTTCTTAGGTTTAGAACTAATTAACAACTGTTCTGTGGTTGGTTTGATAAAATTTTGGTTTGAGTTGGAATATCAAATGTTGTCAAAAAAAAAAAATAGTACAAATGGGTTTTCTAAACATTACCATTCGTTGATAATAAACCCTAAGAAAAATAAAAATATATATAATCTGTCTGGTATTGACAATACCGTATTGTACTTAAAAAGTTATAGGTCAAAGTTGAAGTTTACACACACACCCCGTGGCTCGTGCCTTTTGTCATTTTGATTTAGTTACGTGTTGTACTATGTTTGGATATTAAAAATAGTGAAAATATAGATAGGTTAACTCTTGTCGGCCCGATCCGAATTACTACATGCGAGAGGATATGTGAGCTATATGATAAAGAAGACCGACGGTCTAAAAAAATAAAAGTTGTTCCATAATAATAAACCCTAATTACAATCGCAAATTTTGATGGCAGGCGAGAGCTCCACCGCCGCTGCTTTAAAAATCCGTAGCTGCCGCCGCAAAGGCCTTCGTCGCAACCCCACGAAAATCAAAGAAGCAGTACTAGACTTAATAAGCTCTTTACCTGATGATATCCTACAACATATCCTCTCCTTTATTCAGACCAAAATCGCCATCAAAACTTCCCTCTTGTCAAAACGATGGAGGCATGTATGGTGTGGTACACCTTCTCTATCATTTAGTTGTAATAGAGTGGAGGCTCCTTTTATAAATAAAACCCTAACTCGCTATACATCTTCCAAGATGATGAGTTTTAAGCTCCATTCGAACTTGTCCGAAAATGTTCCCCACCTCGACAGTTGGATCGAGTTCCTCATATCACGTAACGTGGAGAATCTGTCTATGACTTTATGGCATTCCGATGAGTACAAGTTTCCTGATTTCTTCTACATCAATTCTTCTGTCAAGCAACTCTTTGTGGAGTTAATTAGACTGCGCTGATATGAGGATTCCAACATGCATGCTCCGTGTCGTGGACATGTCTGAAGAAGCTGTCTTTGCGTAAATGTCGTCTCTCTGATGAATACATGGCTAAGATTCTCTCTGGTTGTCCCATTCTCGAGAGCTTAAAACTGTGTTTTTGCGATGCACTGGAGGTTCTTGTTCTCAGCAAATCGATGCGTCTGAGAACATTAGAAGTAGAACGCAACCATTGGACTTTGGGACCAACGCAGATTGTGGCACCATATATCCATTGTCTCATTTTGACAAGCTCTCAGGTGTCCCCATGTACTTTAGTTGATGTCTCGTCTTTAGCCGAAGCTAAACTTAACATTGTCGTTTGCCCATATGAAAGAACCACCAAAGCTGATTTTCTTCAAGACATGGTGCTAAAGATGCTAGCAAAGCTGCAGAATGTTGAGAAGCTTGCTTTTGGGGAAATATTTATTCAGGTATGTTTTTTGCATTCTCTAATGCCTTAGAACTCTGGTTACACGCATCGTGAATGAGTTGGTACTTGGTAGCACACTCCGTGTGTGCTGATGAAGTACTAGTTTTCGTTGGTCTTGATTTTCTATATGTTTAGGAACGTTTAATTCTATGTTATGCGCATGGTAGTATAACTTTTTTAGTGTGCTTTTAATTTGTTTAGGTTTTATCTCTTGCCGAGTTACGTGGTGTTTCTTTTCCGATGTTCAAAGTTAAAGCTTTGGCTCTGAAGACGTCGATTTCTCAGAATGATATTCATGGTATAGAAAGGATATTACAAAATTCACCTGATTCAAAGACGCTAAAGTTACACATAAGAAATGGCAACACCATCCCGGTATATTTACTATAAACCTCTTTTATTTTTTCTTGACATAACTATATATAATCGAGTTTGAATAATCCAAGAAGATGTTTTTTTCTTCTCCTGTTGTATAGGAGGTGAATCTTGACGAATACGTGGCTTCACAAGGCATGAATCCGGATCTGTGTTGGAGATCAAAAGATGGGACCTATTGGAACAGATCCCGTTGTGATGTAGAGCCAAAGCACGTGGTTTCATTCATGAAACGTATGGTTAAAACCACAAAAACATTAGAGAAAATGGTCGTCAAGTTGGAAGACACTTACGGTAAGTTCAAAGAACTGGTTTCCAAGACACTTTCTCGCAACAAAAATGTCTCCATTGTTCTCTCAACCATGCCGATGTCATGTGAATCATAGGCATTTATCGAGTTTAATCTCTCTCTTTTTTCATAAAAAAAAACCCCAAATATTGGAAAAATTATTGAAGTTGTGTTTTTTTTCTTTTCGATCATGGGATAACATGTCATTTTTGGTGTGGTTCTTTATTTGAGATGATAACAAACAAGTTTCTGATAGAGAACACGAGAGAAGACCCAAGTAGACTTATCATTGGATGGATCCAGATTATGTTGGAAAGAAAGAGGCTTTAGATAGTTATAAAACAGCTAATTACGTTTGGAGAATTGGCTTGAGAATCAAATCTACTTCTGAAAACCAAAGTGATAAGAAGTCTTGAAAGTCTCTAGTTCAGTCCAAAGGTTTGGGGAGGCTTTGATCATTTGATGAATTGAATTGCTTTCTACAACGTTGGCCTACTTGTAAACCGGAAATGTCTTTGGAACCGGTTTGTTTCTTGAACATTCATTATACAAAAATGACTGGTAATGTTGGTCCAGTTTATTAAATGTTGGATTCAATTTCGTACCTAAATTAGCATATATATATATATATAACTGAAAGTATTTCTTGAGCTGATGTAGCCAATTCATGGATACAAAATCTACACATCAGGGTTCGGTTTGATTCAGTAGCCAACACCCATGTTCTAAAAATCGGTCGCCTAATTAAGCACTGATCGGGTGAGAACCGCGACGATTTTATCCAAATCGGTAAAAAAAATCGGTGATCTGATTTTTGTCCGCCTAGACCGCCTAGGCGTCCGCCTAACCAGCCTAGACGGCACCTAGCCCAAATTTTTTTTTTTGGATCTAAAATTCAAAACGTCCAACTTATGTTCATAAATTGTATAAAAATCATAAGTTTGACTTTAAATTCTTGTTTTCATGTGTAATGCAATTTTAAAAACAAAATTATATAAAATTTTTTTTTTATAATGGATTAATATATTTTTAAAATATTAAATAGCATTAAGTGGAAGCCCCCTTGGCCCATTGGTTGATCAAAGGTTAATTAATGCTTCTACACCAAGAGGTCTGGGGTTCGAGTCCCAGAGATTATGATTTATTAATAAATTTGCAGATTAAAGGAGGTAAGTGTGCAGGAGATCTCCAGCGAAATACAATTATAGCCGTTCGCCAGGATTCTACGCAGAGAGAGAAGTGTCGTCAGGTCGTGGATCATTGAAGGTGTCCGTCAAGAGCATGGAGAAGGAAGTGTCGTCTGTCGTGGATCTAATAAGGGTCGGAAAGAATTGTCCATTGTAGAATCGTTTATGTAATAGTTCTCATAATTTACAATAAATAATAAATCTAGACGTAAAAAAAAATAGCATTAAAACTAATCTCTGATTAATCTCCATTTAATCTTTGATTTTTTTGCTAGGCGCTATGTTCACCTTCACCGCCGCGCTAAGTGATTTTTTAAACATGCGCCAACACTATCGTCAAATATTATTTGATTTTTCTAAACCAATGATAACCAACGATAAAACCGGTCTATTGAAACTACCGAGTTGAGTTCAATATCTTTCGGTCGGAACTGTATATGTTGCTTGACCTAATAAAGCAAATTGACTCTGGTTCGGTTTAGTTCGGTTAAATAACGAAAAAGGAGATTCTGAGCTTTGTGAGATTCAGTTCCCAAATTAGAGAATCTCTTGTGTCGCCTGAAGTGATAACATTCTCATTATTCACCCAAGGAGAGATCGGAGCTAAAAAGCTATCCCTCGCCGGAAAATTCCTTCAGTTTTGAATTACCTTCAAGCCAGACAACAACACAACAAGGAAATCTTAGCCTCCTTTCCTCTCCCTCTCTCTATCTTCCATCTTTATCTCTGTCTATAGGCTTTGTCTTTGATCAACACGAAGCTTTTTGTTTTTTTTTTTATCTTTTTAGAAAAGTTTTCAGCCAATGGATTCGTTGGTTCGAATCCAGTAGTTGCTTCAAAGGTCATGGATTTAGTCAGGTGTGTTCTAAATTCTAATCTCCTTATGTGTTCATTTCTCTCGCTATTGATTTCAAGTTCCGTAGGGTTTTAGATAACGTTTGCAACTGAGAAAGAAATTAGGTTTTTTATTTAACCCTGTAACGATTGATTCGAAGTTCATTGTGTTTCTGTGAAATATTTAGGGGTTTCTGGAGGAAACATAGAAGGAAGATTTTGGTGACGACGACTTGTTTGGGAAGTGGGTATTTACTCTACAAACTATACAATGCTCATACTCGTAAGCTCGCTGATTTGGAACGAGAGCTTGCTTATGAGCGTGAAAATGACGAGATCATCAAAACCCAGTTGAGTTTTTGTAACCTCACACCAAAAGACAGAGTCTTTTTATGCTTTTTACCAAGTTTGGTTGTTTCTCAATTTCTAGTGCTTATTCTTGTTTTTGGTTTTGTTCTCTCCATACTCTCTGTTAGAATGAAGGCCCATTTCGATAACATTCAGATGATTGCTGATACTACTACATTGCCTCACGCAATGCATCACTTGAGTAGCCGTTTAGTTGAAGAGATTGATGTCTCTAGTATTATGGATAAGCTAAGCAAAGGAAAAGGAATATTGATTCCTTCTGAGAAGCTTCATCTCTGGAATGAGCTCAAAATTTTGAGTGCGTTCTTGTTCCCTTACTTGTTCTCTCTTGCTCTACATTATCTGTGGCAACATTGGATATTCTAATCAAACAAAAAAATTTTTGTTGTGTTCAGGTTTCACGAGGATGGTTTTGTCGCTTTGGTCTGTCACTATGCTTAGTTTGTACATTAGGGTTCAAGTCAATATTTTGGGCAGACATTTATATATCGACACTGCTAGAGGTCTTGGGAGCTCCCATTTACTTGTAAGACATTTTACTTCTCTCTTTTATTGTCTTAAGAATCATTGTTTGTGTATCAATGGCTCAAGACTTATAAGCTGCTTCCTTCTGGTTAAGATTTCAGTAAATGTTTAGTTTTATTATCACTTTTAATAAGCCACTTCTAGCAAATTGGCCATTCTGATATATTTCTTTGTGTAATTTCATTCTGCTTGTTGCATTGTATCTTGAGATATCAAATTTTCAAATTGAGATTTCAAGGGGTATAAGTTGATTATTTTTTTTCTTTTCCTTCTGAAATTATTGAAATTAGTGTATTCATTGGTCTTAGACTCTTTAGATATAACTCTTGGCTTGATTACCACAATCTTTACCAACATAATTTCTTTTACACGTTTTTTTACAGGAAGAACTAGATCTCATAGATAGAGATGACGAACAAAAGTTTTTGGCAAGCGCTGATTTTCTTGCGACTAGTGGCATACCGAGTTTGATTTCTAATATGCAGGGTGCAGTGAAAGAAGTTCTAAAGGGGTAATTTACATTACAAACCTACTTATCAAAGATTTCTTACTTGTTTCTCATCTTTGAAGATTGATTTTATGGTGCCTCAAATGGCCTATAAAGATCATTATACTTTTATGAATGTATAGCGAAATCTAATTATGTGTGTTTAATTGCAGAAAGCAGTTGAAGGATGTGTTTACCACAAGGGTTCTTCAAGAAACTGTGATGCGGATTCTCGATGTGTTTATGAGCACTGGAAGTCCACATCACTGGGTAGATTATCTGATGATGTCCCAAGACGCAACCAGTGATGTTTCCTCTTCTGATGCAACTGTTACCAAGTTTCATCAACTCATAACCGAGACACGGGAAGTAGTCACAAGGTAATATTGTCTCTGCTCTTAAACCCGCAAAAGACTAACAAGTTTCACTTGTTTAAAGCCTTGTCCTCGTTTCTGCTTTAATGCTCAAAGCAAGAATGTTGCAATATATCCTGTAAACATTTCTCGGTCTTGTTTTCTTGTTGCAGCAATGATTTTACAAATGTAGCAGAGATCTCACTCAAGTGTTGTGCCGTGGCGTTAGTAGAGGAGATGGAAACACAGACCGCTTTAGCCAAAGGGATGCAATTGGCGAAGCTATTACCACAGATTGAGAAGACCATGCCAGAGATTTCAGCTGAACCAAGCAAGAACCGGTTCTTGCAACTCATCCGAGATTTGCCTGAAGTTAAACTCTTTTTTACTCTTTTATACGCAAATATGCCTCAGTAGCATCATTATTAAACCCCCATTGCCAAATTGTTTGCTCATCACTTTTTATTTTGTGTTTTCAATTTACTTCAAAATAGTAAAATCAAACATCTCTAGAATAATTTGTTCAATACCTATAACCATGGCAAAAAAATGATTTTATCAATAAGAAAATTAAAGATTTGCAGGTTCTTTAATATAAATACTGCCATTAACCCAAAAAAAAAAAAAAAAATAGTCTAATATTGCAACACAAAGAAAAAAGGAAATCATCACGATTACATCTTTCAATTGTTTGGGCCCTAAAACTCCGAGGCCCAATAAAACCGGGTCGGGTCTATTGAACCGGTATTAACTATTTTCTCATTGGGTTTTCTCCCTCTTTCTTCACTCTCTGGGTACTTTCGATTTCTGAAGTCGAGAGACGACTATGGCGACGAACAATGGGGACGTTTTGATGCTGGAGGCGGCGCCGGAGGCTGCGAGGCCATGGGCTAGTGCGGCGAATGCAGAAGTTATCGATGCGCTTCCTTATATAGACGACGACTATGGCAATCCCTTGATTAAATCGGAGGTCGACCGCTTGGTGGAGGAAGAGATGCGTCGGAGCTCTAAGAAGCCAGCTGACTTTCTCAAGGACTTGCCTCCTCTTCCGAAGTTCGATTTCGAGGTGAATTTCACTGTGAATCCTTTTATCGATTTGTTTGTTCGTTTCTCTAGCTCCGGTTTGTTGGATTAGGGTTGAAAGAGAATTCGATGAAATTTTGGTGAATTCCAATCTTTTGGTTTCTGGGTTTTGCTTCATCTTGGACTTTATATTCGGAGTGTTGATTTTGGGTTTGTTATGTTAGGGTTCTTGTTCTCTTCTTCTATTCGTTTTCTTAACGGAGAGAAAAGTAGCAAAGAGTTTGGGTGATTTATCGAAGCTTCAATTAGTTTTAGTTTTAAGGTTCGTAATCCTCATGAGCAGCTGACCTTTTCTTGTATGGCTAAGGTTTATACTGAAGATTTGATTGCCGATATGATAGCCTTTTCTTGAAAGTAGAAATTTTATGATCTTTTAATTAGTTTTATGATTTAGGTCTAAAGGAATTGATTGGTTTTGTCTCGTTTCTTTGGTTTAAAACAAATATCAGAACTGCCCAGTTCTTGGCAAAGAGTATGAGCGTGTTCGAGCTGGGAAGCCTCCAGTGCGGATAGATTTTGAATCCCGATACAAGCTTGAATTGCCGCCTGCTAATAAGAGTAATGATGCTGCTGCCTGGAAGCAGTATCTTCAGAAGAATCAGCGGTCATTGCAACAGAAGCTGATCGAGTAAGCAAAGTTTCTGAATCATGATTCTCTTCTATACATACTGGTTTCCTGTTTTAAAACGTGGATTTGTTCATTCACAGGCTTGAGAATTTGGAATTGATGTCAAAACTTGGCCCCGAGCTTTGGAGACAGAACAACCATCGGCTAGAAGTATTCTTGACCAGGTTTGTTCATATTTATATATACAGCAGCATTGATTGTATTGAATGTCGTCTACATTGTAACTTGGGATTAAAAGGGTTTAAGCTCTTTAGTTGATGGATTGTATATATCCTAGATGATCTGCTGAAGCATTCTTGATTTCTTTGTTGTCCATTTTACTTGCATAGTATGCAAGCTTTAGTACACGAGACTTGCTTTTCGTTTTTCTTCATGTGCTTTCTTATAAGAAGCTCTTTGTGTCCTTGGGACAGGTCATTCTTTATCAAACTATACCTAGTATCTAGTTTTTGGAACTTAAACACTGCAAGATTGATCTCAACATTCTATTTGAACTCTATTTTCCAGAATGCAAAGACTGGCGCAGGAGCAGAACAAGGAAATTGAAAAAGTAAATCGGGAAAGGAAGTATCATCAGGTGATGACACTTTTGAAGTATTTTACATCTTCCTCCTTGCACTTTTCTCTTTGGTTAACGGGGTAATCTGAAACTTTGTTTTGTGGCCATACCAGCAAACCACATCATACGAGCTCAATGCTCTATCTCAAGAATGGAGACAGCTCTGCGTGAAGAATATGGAGATTCAGTCTGCTTGTGCCATGCTTGAGACACAGATGGATTCGTTTAAAAAAGAAGCTGCTGAAAGGTGAGGAAAATCTCGTCTTACTTCTTTTCATAGAGTTGAATTTTAATCGCAGAACTGATACTCGTGGGGTTGTGTGTTTAAGGGGATGGAACTTAGAAGAGAAACTAGAGAACGTCGAGCCACTTCAAATGCAATGAGGCGCCTCCCTTGCTGGATTTTTACTGATTCTTACGTAAAGTGGGCTCAGACCCGAACAGCTGTTGGCCAGTTTGGTTTGAGTTGTGCGCTAGAGAATCAAAGACGAGAGACAGTTTCAGTTATTTGGCAGTTTTGTGAAATCATCTGCTTCCCTGTCTAGTGGTGTGTGGGACAAGTAATTGTTTTTGAAATTATCGAAAGTTCGAAACTCTTTAATTTATTGAAGCATAACGTTTACGATTTGGCAGTGAAAAATGATGTTGGTTTAACCTTCTAGCAATATATCATGTCTCTACTATATTTTGAGAATTTTTTTTCTCATTGATTACTTAAAATACAATATAATAGTCATATATTTTCCCTCTATGAAAATGTGCATATATATCCCGGATCTCCTGTAATCAGAATGCAGACAAGCTCCTCCATCCATTTTTTCTTCTAAGATTAAAAATCTAATTTTCTCGATCTCGTTGAATTGATCTTACACATCTACTTTCTTTTCTCCTAATTTAGTATTAATAACTATTTTTGGTGTGGGCAATTGCCAATTGTCGTTAAAGATTAGTAGTAATAAATAACACACGCGTTACAATAGCGAAACTAACAAGTTCTACTACGTACTTTGTTTCTGGAAGTATCAAACAAAGAAAAGAAAAAACAAACAGGAAGATTTTGCATGTAACAAAGACAGTATCTTCATGAAGTCTACTACTTTGTTTATGGTTTCTTGTGTTCTCATGTTTTATGTTCTTAGTCACGTGAGAGGTACGTAATGTACTATTGTTCTTTTGATTTAGATGAGTATTATTCAAATTATAAAACTTGCTGCTGCATTACATTATCCAAAAACAAAACTTAATTACCATTATCAATTATTGTTTACTAATATACGTTTTCATTTACAATTTAAACATTATTTTTTCGTGTGTAAAAAAAACGAATAGAGGTGAAATCGGTGGCGCCGAAGAGGGTGAAGAAGGTGTGCGAAAAGTCGCAAGTATTCAAACAAAATTGTGGGTGGAACGGAAACAAGACTTGCATAAGAGGCTTTAATAAAATTAAGGAATACCCTTTTCATTGCGAGTGTGGCATTTATGATGAACTCAATAGCAGACGTCTTTGCAAATGTAAATTTCCATATTCTCCTTGCTAAACTTTCTTTTCCTTCCATAACCATAATAATCTCTTTGTTAACAAAGAGACATTCTCAAAGTTAAAAGTAAAGTATACCTAACGTTATTGATGGAAGCCACTGCCTTGTGCCTCGTTTTTTTTGTTTATCAGAAATAAGGGAACTTTGCATGAACCAAAGGTTAATTAACCAGTGAGATGAAATGAACCCTTTTACTTCCTTCCTTCCATGTTACTCTAAAATATCTCTGAAGTTACAACCTTTCGGATTAGATCTCTTATTTAGTATTAAAAAAAATCTCCTATAATTTGAATTTTTATCAGAATCATGTATGTTGGTCTTTCTATATATCGTCTAACATTAAAAGAAAATATAAACATAAGACTTTAAAAGAAAGAAAGAAATACCAATATGTGAAAGTCATTGCAAGATGCAAGAGCTTTTAACATTATTTTTTATATGTTGTACTACATGCAGCAGTTATATACATGAACACTTCCGAGTATGCATTCCTACTACTAATACAAATATATAAGTTACATGGTCCTGAGGAATATTAATTGATATGTTTTGTGTGGTACAAATTGAATTTCCTACTCAAATTTGAATAGATCCATGCATTGTATTGCAAATGATCCTTCAGCATTCCTTTGTCAAATGTTATTTAGACACATTAAAAAACATATGTATAAATAAAATTAAAGTGGCGGATCCTTTGCTTATGATCTTTTATTTTTTAATCTTACACCAATTTAATCACAAGACAAAAAAAAATTATGCATTCCTACCGATGAGGCGATGACTCTACAAATAATTTAAATAAATATATTTTATATATGTATTTGACATAGTTTTAAATTTCATACTACAATTAAACAAAACAAAAATCGTATATTGGAAGGTGCACACGTACATCGTCATGCGACCCACCAAAGAGGCTACAAGACACGTAACTTGTTAGAATGTCTCTTTCCTACTTAACAACCTTCTTATATTGCTATTATTATTGTGATGCATCTTATTATCACCTAATTTATTAATAGAAAAACCATGTTTTGCTTAACAGATTTCAATTGGTTGTTGAGGTAATCACCGCACGTTTCGGATGATTAAACATAAGCTTCTCTTAAGTAGATTTAGTCCTTCAGATTCCAAGACTCAAGTTATGGCAACAAAAGCAATCATTAATATTCATTGAAAATATGCACCAATGATTATAACCAGTAGATTGGTGATGATACAGTTTCAGAACTAGACCATTCCGTATATGACATGATCACAAATTCACAAAACATTTTTACTACTAATAATTATCTAAATTTTTGACATGTATATGGTGTTTGTCATCCATTGTTATTAGATTAGCCATTAGGGTAACGATATCACTATTTATGTTTTAACTACTCTATAGTTTTTTTCAACGGAGTTAGTCTAGTTAGATGGGGATGCTTAAAATTTCACATATAAGACCATACATCAATTATTGAATTCAAGTATACATAGAAAAAAGAAAAATGTAATGAGAGATTGTTGGAAAAAGTCCAAAGTCGACAATCGAACAACCAAGTTTCACAAAAATCTAGAAAAATTTCACCAACTGTTAGTTGATTCATAGCTTTCAGGCCACATTTGATTCTGCCTCCTTCGTTAATTGGTCTCAACGAAACAAAAACTAAACAATTAACAATCAATCATTTAGATTTTGGTTGTGTCTGTCATAACAGTCAACTACAAAGTTTCTTTCATTTTCATTATTTTATTAAAGAAAAGTACTAGTTATGAACTTCTAATCAATTTCCATATGTTCAATAGTTTTGTTTAAATATATTTTTCTAACTAAAATTTATATATATACTCTTTTTTGTGTAAGTTGTAGTTTCAATAATTTTGTTTGTTTTCTTTTGTCAACCACACATTTATAAAAAAAAAAAAAAAAATCTTCATTAACAATCTAATTTGGAAGAGAAAATTTTGCAAAACTAACATGTCGTACGTTTAGCTATGGCTGAACAAACATTTAGCTTAAAATGACGAAAAATTATTGTAAATTAAGCAAAATAAATTCGTTTGGAAGGTTTGAGAAAGTGGATAGTTTCTCAGGGTTATGGGACATTTTGATCAGCTTAGAACAATTGTCTCGAAGTCTAGATTGCTACTCCTACTGAAATCTTTTTTTTTTCACTAGAATAATTTTGATATCCAAAATTCGAAAAAGTTACAAACCACAAGAAAGAGACGAGATTAAACCATAGATAAACACAATGCTCATGAAGATCATGTTTGACAATTTTATCTTTGTTAAAGTTTTATTTTGGTTGTTCTTTATAATTATATCTATTATATTTAAAATGAAGCTAAAAAGAAAAATCGTGGGGAGCATTCATTAAGCTGCTTACTAAGACTGCTTCTTCGACTAATACTTCATGCCCTCCAAATCCTTCCTCTCCAATGCCGACACTCGCCTGATTTATAAAACTAATAAGATCCTCTTCTTTTAATAATACACTATTTATATTCATTTAATTTTTTTTATCTTCAACACCTCAACGTTCTCTTCTTGATCTTGTCTTGAAATCCAGTCATTTATAAGAGACAAGAACCATACGACCAATGTCGTAGAACAAGTTCTTAAGTATTCACACAATCCTCTCACATTCATTCATCTCTCTACATTAGCACGAAGACTGGTTTTTCAAGAGTTTTCTTGTAGCACAAGAAAGATCAAGTTTGTGTAACTAAAGAGACAAAGAAATGACAGAAAAGGATCTTCTTTTCGACACGATACTTGCTCGTAGTTTTAGCAGAACTGGGAAGAAGAGACTTGGATATGGAGCTTTCATTGCCTCTCTTCTCTTCGTCTTCACTCTTTGCACTGTCTCTAAACCTTACCTCAGCCCTCTACCAATCGGTATGTCCCTCACAACGTTATCCAAAACGATAGAAAACGCAGAAACAATCATTAATAATAACGTTTATCTTTCTTTCTTCAGTGGAGATGCAATTATCAGTGGACGCTGGTCTCAGAATGCTGAAAATAACAGAACCGCAAGCATTAAGGAGCAGCAACAATGAAACATCCGCAGATTCAGAGAAACTCATTATCCAAACGAATCAAGATAATGTTACATCCAGTGCAGTGATTACTCAGAGCCTAATCAGTTCTGAAGATCACAAGCTTAGTGTATGCAACGACACAAGCTTGCCAAAGAATTTTCTCGATTCGTTTAATTGTACTACCAACACTACAATCCCCAAGGAAGAAGTTATTTCAGGTCCGCATATATACTTTAAATTATTCTCTACAATTTTCTTGAATTGTTATGGTTTTAGTCAATTTACTGGTACTTTTCTTGAAAATGTTATGGATATAGTCAATTTATTGATATTTTTGTCTTCTGATGAATTTTCAGATGAAAATAAATTGGAGAAAACTATGAAACCTATATGCACCAAGCTAGCAAGAACAGAGTTCTGTGAATTAAGCGGCGACGTAAGAATCCACGGTAAGTCCGCGACTGTTTTAGCTGCGATCACGTTTGCGTTTTCAGGGAATTCCACGTGGCATATGAGACCTTACGCGCGAAAAGGTGACCTGGTGGCGATGAATCGCGTGAGAAAATGGACCGTGAAATTGGAACAAAACGCTGACCAATTAGAAAACGCTAATTTCTCGCGTTGCGTTAGGAATCACAGCGTTCCGGCGATGATTTTCTCTCTCGGAGGCTACACGATGAACAATTTCCACGATTTCACCGATGTCGTGATTCCTCTGTACACGACGGCGCGTCGATTCAACGGCGAAGTTCAGTTTCTCGTGACGAACAGGAATCCATGGTGGATCAACAAATTTAAGGAATTAGTGAAGAAACTATCGAATTACGAAGTGATTTACATCGACGAAGAAGACGAAACGCATTGTTTCAGCAGCGTCACCGTCGGTCTCATTCGCCACCGTGAGTATTTCACTGAGTTGACTATCGATCCTTCAAATTCGGAATATTCAATGTCCGATTTCCGGAGTTTTCTAAGAGACACCTACTCATTGAGAAACGCCGCGGTGATTACGAGCCAGATCCGGCGGCGGAGGCCACGGATCCTGATTTTGTCGAGGAGCAGATCGCGAGCGTTCGAAAACACCGGCGAAATCGCGAGAGCGGCGAGACAGATCGGGTTCGAAGTCGTGGTGGCGGAAGCGAACACCGGAGTCGCGAATTTTGCACAAACCGTGAATTCCTGCGACGTGATGCTCGGCGTTCACGGCGCGGGGCTGACGAACATGGTGTTTTTGCCAGACAACGCGGTCGTGATTCAGATTCTTCCGATCGGTGGATTCGAGTGGCTTGCGAAGACGGATTTCGAGAGACCTTCGGAGGGAATGAATCTGAGGTATTTGGAGTATAAGATCGCGGCGGAGGAGAGTTCGCTGGTGAAGAAGTACGGACGCGACCACGAGGTCGTGAGAGATCCATCGGCGGTTGCCAAACACGGGTGGGATATGTTCAAGTCGGTTTATTTGGTACATCAGAACGTTAGTATTGATATAAACCGGTTCAAACCGGCTCTTGTCAAAGCTCTTGAGTTACTGTAGAGGTAGTCGGTGTAAATTAAATATTTACCGCAGTCGTATACTGTAATAGTTGGATCGTAATATCTTATTATATAAAGTATAGTTTTCAAAGTCAATAAATCATAGGATCGTACTACGTGTCAAATTTATCAATTTCATATTTTGACACATGTTGAACAAAAATTTCCTTCTATTCTTTTTAAAAAAATATATAAGGAAACTATACACACATGTCAAGTTTATCAACGTGTAAAATAAAAAAAAAACATTTATAAGGAAATTATACGTATATTTCTTATATAAAATAATTCTAAAAATCTAAAAAAGATAAATATAAGGAATCTAGATGTATCTTATGAAATAAAAATAGAAATTTAATAAACAAAATTATAAGGCAACTATACATATATATCATATAAAAAAATAAAAAAATATAAAATATAATTATAAAGAAACTATATGTATCTTATTAAATAAAAATAGAAATTAAACAATTATTTACTAATTCTAATTTAAAGCTACTAAAAGAAAAAAATAGTTTTTTCTTAAAATTAAAAAAGATTTATGAAACTATACAATATTATTGTATAATATGATAATTAAATTATCTTATTATATAAAGCATGGTTTTCAAAGTCAATAACTCATAGGATCGTGCCACATGTCAAATTTATCGATTTCAGATTTTGACACGTGTTGAACAAAAATTTCCTTCTATTCTTTTTTTTAAAAAATATATAAGGAAACTATACACACATGTCAAGTTTATCAACGTGTAAAACCAAAAAAACACATTTATAAGGAAATTATACGTACATTTCTTATATAAAATAATTCTAAAAATCTAAAAAAGATAAATATAAGAAAACTAGATGTATCTTATGAAATAAAAATAGAAATTTAATAAACAAAATTATAAGGCAACTATACATATATATCTTATAAAAAAATAAAAAAATAACAAAAATAAAAAAGATAATTATAAAGAAACTATATGTATCTTATTAAATAAAAATAGAAATTAAACAATTATTTACTAATTCTAATTTAAAGCTACTAATTCTAAAAGAAAAAAAAATAGTTTTTTCTTAAAATTAAAAAAGATTTATGAAATTAGTATAATATGATAATTAAAAAAATTATAATCAATTATTAATCCTAAAAGAAAAAGGATTCTAAATACTCACCTATATAGATAAAAATAAATAAATAGATAGATAGAAAAATTAAGAATATATGACGATGAAAGCAAATTAAGAATTATGAACGGCGTTGAACATGAAATAGAGTTGTTGTCGAAGAAACTTGACCCGGTGTCGGAAGAGATTAAGAAGGTGGAGAAATAAAAGTAGTTGGGGAAAGAGGGGAAGATGTGGTAACGGTGGTGTTGGTGTTGATGACGGTGGTTTAAGCTTGGTGGTGGTGGTGGCGGCGGTAAATATTGATGAAGATGGTTGGTCGGAATTAGCGAGATTTAGTATTGATGCTGATGGTGATTGTGATAGTTGTGAGATTCAGTTGTGGTGGTGGCCTGGTGGGTCGGATTAGTGAGACTCGGTTGTGATGCCCGACGAAAGAGAGAAATAGTGATATGAAATCTAACGAGAGGGATCGAGAGAAAGAAAAGAAAGAGGAGATCGAGTAAAAATAAGAAAAATCTAATGAGAGAAAATAGAGATTTGAGACTTCTCGCCGGCGTGAAGACAGAAAAAAGAGACAGCGAAGAACTCATGAATAATATGGGCCTAAAATTGACAAAAATCATATAGCAAATTGACATTGTTTAGTTAATATTATTTTCTTAATTCTTTTTTAGTCTTAGGTTATTTAGTATATATTCCCTAATTCCTTATGAATTTGTCTTTGTTTTGAGGATTTCTCATATTATCGAGTAAAGTTACATGATGTGCATATAGATTGTCTCATATTGTTATAATTTTGTTTCCATCTTGCCCACATTAAAATTAGAAAGAGTTTTATACACTATTCCGATGAATGTAGATAATTTATTAAAATTCAATAATACACATATGAACATTTATTAAATATCATATTGTAACATATAATAAACAAAACTACAAATAGTATTTTATATTGTACATTATGCATAACTAATCTATATTTAAAAAATAATTAAAATACTACATTTACTAAAACTAAAACATATTTTTATATAATTTCAGTTAAGCTTACAAAAATAATAATAAAAATGACAATTTCGACCGATAATCCGTGCAACGCACGGGTCCATATCTAGTCTATCATAAAACAATTATATTTTATCGAAATTTTGGAACTGTCAGTTATTCTGATCATGCCCAATCGACTAACTAGATTAAACCGACATCTATTAGAAAAGTTCCAAAGAATACCAACAGATTAAAAAGGAACTATAGCTTACACTAAATTTTATGTTACTTTTTTACAGTTTGTGGGTCAGCTTTAATCTGTTTTGAAAAGCTTTTCCACCATTTTACGGATATTTTTGTCATGCTTTTTATCCTTCTCTTATTTTGGCTGCAAATTAAATTGTATTTAAAAAAATGTTATTTCTATAATTTTGATATGCAGCTAAATGATTTAAAATGAAGCAAAAAAAGAAAAATACTTCTTCAGACAAACTACTTCATGCGTGCCTCTTACATAAACTCTGCCAATACAAGATCGAACCCTGGTAGGAATGTAAATCATGGTGAGATTCGACCACTTTGAACATGCATACTCTAGCTCTCTTCTAATTTTAACACTACACTTATTTTCATTTTAAATCTTTTGATCTTCAATACCTAAACGTTCTCTTCTTGATCCTGTCTTAAAATCCAGACACTTATAGTGACAAAAAAAAAAAACATGACTAATGTCGTAAAACAAGTTCTTAAATACCTCACACCATCCTCTCGCTCTCCCACCTTGACCTTAATTCATATCTCTACATTAGCCAGTAAACTCTGATTCTAGAGTTTTTGCTGGACAAGAAAGAAATCTTTGTGTAACTTAAGAGTCAAGAGATGACAAAGAAGGATCTTCTTTACGATTCAATACTTGCTCGTAGCTTTAGCAAAACTGATCAGATGAGACTTGGCTTTGGAGCTTTCATTGCCTCTCTTCTCTTTGTCTTCACTCTTTGCACTGTCGTTAAACCTTATCTCAGCCCTTTACCAATCGGTAAGTCCCTTAACACGGTTCGCTGAAAAGCCAGACAATGCAGAAACAATCATTTTAACGTAGATTTCTTTCTTTCTTTCTTTCCTCAGTGGAGTTACAAATATCAGTTGGCACAGGATGCTGAGAATAACAGAACCGCAAGCGTTAAGGAGCAGCAAGAATGCAACATCTGAAGATTCTGAGAAACTCATTACTCAGACCCTAATCAGTTCTGAAGATCACAAGCTTAGTGTCTGCAACGACACAAGCATGCCAAAGAATCATCTTGATTCGTTTAATTGTACTACCAACACTACAATCTCCAAAGAAGAAGTTATTTCAGGTCAACATACGTCAAATCATTCTCTACATTTGTCTTTAAGTTGTTATGCTTTTTAGTCAATTTTTGTATACTTTGATTCAGAGAATGTTCTTTTGTTTTTGTCCTGAGTGAATTTTCAGAGTGCAATAAAATGGAGAAACCTATCTGTCACTGTAACAAGCTAGGAAGCAAAGAGTTTTGCGATCTAAGCGGCGACGTAACTGTTCTTGCGGCGATCACGTACGTCTGCGTTTTCCGGGAATTCAACGTGGCATATGAGACCTTATGCGAGAAAAGACCAAGGTGCGGCCATGAAACGCGTGAGAGAATGGACGGTGAAATTAATACAAAACGCTAGTTTATCACGTTGCGTTAAGAATCACAGCGTTCCGGCGATTCTTTTCTCCCTCGGAGGCTTCTCGTTGAACAATTTCCATGATTTCACGGACATCGTGATTCCTCTGTACACGACGGCGCGTAGATTCGACGGTGAAGTTCAATTCCTCGTGACGAACAAGAATCCATGGTGGATCAGCAAATTTAAGGGATTAGTGAGGAAATTTTCGAATTATGAAGTGATTTACATCGACGAAGAAGACGAAACGCATTGTTTCGGCAGCGTCATTGTCGGTCTCAATCGCCACCGTGATTATGACAAAGAACTAACGATCGATCTTTCGAATTCGGAGTGTTCCATGTCCGATTTCCGGAAATATCTCAGAGACGCATACTCGTTGAGAAACGCCGCCGTGTCTACGTGGCGGAGGCCACGGCTTCTAATTTTGTCGAGGAGCATATCGCGAGCGTTTGTGAACGCTGATGAAATCGCTAGAGCGGCGAGACAGATGGGATTCAATGTCGTGGTGGTGGAAGCAAACACCGGAATTGCGAGTTTCGCACAAACTGTGAATTCCTGTGACGTGATGCTTGGCGTTCACGGCGCGGGACTGACGAACATGGTGTTCTTACCAGAGAACGCGGTCGTGATTCAGATTCTTCCGATCGGTGGATTCGAGTGGCTTGCGAACACGGATTTCGAGGATCCGTCGAAGGGAATGAATCTGAGGTATTTGGAGTATAAGATCGCGGCGGAGGAGAGTACGCTGGCGAAGCAGTACGGACGTGATCACGAGGTCGTTAGAGATCCATCGGCGGTTGCAAAACGCGGGTGGGGAACGTTCAAGTCGGTTTATTTGGTACAGCAGAACGTGACCGTTGATATAAACCGGTTCAAGCCGGTTCTTGTCAAAGCTCTTGAGTTATTACATAATCAGTCGGTGTAAATAAGTAAATTTCAAGCATTCGTGTACTGTAAATTATTCTAGTCGGATCGAAATAATTACCAGTAAATAACCTTGTTTTGTCTCTTCCCTGACTAATGTCTAAGTGCTTCTCGATTATCTTACGGAATACGGTTCATCCGGGAAAAGGTCAAATTCCACTATCTTGTTTTTGCCACTAATGTTGAAGCCCGTTTTCATAGTTTGTTGTGCGAAAAGTATTTATGGTGAACTATGAGAGCTTCATTTAGTCTCGAGACAAGATTTGTTTAAATTTTGCAATGTATTATCGAAAACTCTTTTCCTCATTTTGTTGTAGATTATGGGTCGAGCTAGGGCTGGGCGTTCGGTTTTTCGGTTTGGTTTCAGTTCGGTTTTTTCGGTTTTACGGTTTTTCGGTTTTAAGAAAAGTGAAACCATATAAAAACCATATGAAATTCGGTTTTCTTACGGTTCGGTTTTAACGGTTTTACGGTTTTTCGGTTTTAGAAAAATTAAAACCATTTAAAAACCTTATGTATTTTGGTTCGGATCGGTTCCGGTTTGGTTCCGGTTTTTTCATGTTTTTACCAAAAAAAATTATAAGTTTGATGCGTAAATAAAATCAAAATCTAGTTTGTAAACCCAAATCCTAAATTTAAATTCAAACTTGTAAAAATTAGAAAGCTAATAAGCTATAGAAAACAAAATTCAGAAATAATTTGTATCATCGTCATCACTCAATGATATCACTCATTAGCCACGATTGGCCTCTTCAAGCTGCCTATTAATCTCTGATACATCCGACCGTTGAACATTTTGTTTTTTGGCCGTTGAAGAAGGATCATCGGTTGCATTCTTTTTTTCACCAGGATTAGGGTCTTGACTTGAATCTGCCATCTACGATTATTAATTGTGATGATTGATCAGTTGAGGATAAGAGATAATACTATAATAGGACAAAGAGAACCAAAAATAGAAAAAAAAATACCTGGAAGTTTGTGTTGCAGGGAAGGCACGTAGGGGAAGAGAGTTTAAGAACAAAGAGTCAATGACGGCATGTGATTTATATAGAATTTTAGTTTAGGTTAGGGTTAGGGTTTTGTTTTTCGATAGTTCGATAGATATGATATTATCAAATGGACATTATATATATATACAATTATTTTTAACTTTAATAAAAAACCAAAAAAACCGTTTGGTTTTACGGTTTTTAACCAAACCAAACCTAAACCGAAACTTAAATAAAAATTACAACCAAATGGGTTTTTATACAAAACCATAACCAAACCAAACCATTTATTTCGGTTAGGTACGGTTCGGTTTTTCGGTTTTCGGTTTTTTTGCCTAGCCCTAGGTCGAGCATTGTATTTCTTTGAAGTTTAATCTCTTATTTTCTCATGTCAGTTATGTGTAACCTTTCCGAATCCAATATCAATATAATTCAGTGAAAAAACAAAATATGGAATTGGCAAATATGAATTGTATGTAAAGATACTACAAAATCTTGCGATGAAGGTTAATTTAATGCTCGAACTACTTGCTCCCAATCCTACCATATACTGAGCGTTGACATAAACCGGTTCAAGCCGGAGATCATTTGGTCTAATTTAGTTTTTTTCTGAAATTTGTTTAACCGTCCCCTTAAAAGACACTGAAGTCTGAAGCAGTAACTGGGCATTTTGGGCTAAATAAATTTCACTCATAAAAACCCAAAAACAGGCCCATTCTTCAAACAACAGCGTAAACCCTAGGGCTTTTTTCAAATTCTCTATTCTCTCTTTCATATCGAGAACACTCTTAATCTAGGGTTTTCTGCAAATTTCCCCGTTCGAGATCATTTCCCGTCGAAATCAAATCCGAGATCTCAAGCTCTCTCACTCGTAGTAAAAAAAATGGCGGCGGTAGCGGCACCGATGGCTTCGAAGCCCCGTGGATCTAAAGCAGAATCCTTCGTAGACAACAAGCGGAGAGAAGATATCCGATTCGCGAACATCAACTCTGCTCGCGCCGTCTCAGACGCCGTCCGTACGAGTTTGGGACCGAAAGGAATGGACAAGATGATTTCCACGGCGAACGGTGAGGTAATCATCACTAACGATGGAGCTACGATCCTCAACAAGATGGAGGTTTTGCAGCCAGCAGCGAAGATGTTAGTCGAGCTTTCCAAATCTCAAGATTCAGCTGCCGGAGATGGTACTACAACCGTCGTAATAATCGCCGGTGCGCTTCTCAAGGAGTGTCAGTCGCTTCTCACAAACGGGATCCACCCTACTGTCATCTCAGATTCGCTTCACAAGGCTTGTGCTAAGGCGATTGATGTCTTGACCGCCATGGCTAGTCCGGTGGAGCTCACTGACCGAGATTCACTTGTTAAATCTGCGAGCACGTCGCTTAACAGTAAGGTTGTTAGTCAGTACTCTACATTGCTTGCTCCTTTAGCTGTAGATGCGGTTCTCTCTGTTATAGATCCGGAAAAGCCAGAGATTGTCGATTTGCGTGATATTAAGATTGTTAAGAAGCTTGGTGGGACTGTGGATGATACACATCCGGTGAAAGGTTTGGTTTTTGACAAGAAGGTTAGTCGTGCTGCTGGTGGACCGACTCGTGTGGAGAATGCTAAGATCGCTGTGATTCAGTTCCAGATCTCACCTCCTAAGACTGATATCGAGCAGAGTATTGTTGTCTCTGATTATACTCAGATGGATAGGATCTTGAAAGAAGAGAGGAATTACATCTTGGGGATGATTAAGAAGATCAAAGCAACTGGTTGCAATGTGTTGTTGATCCAGAAGAGTATTTTGAGGGATGCTGTGACTGATCTATCTCTTCACTATTTGGCTAAAGCTAAAATCATGGTTATCAAGGATGTTGAGAGAGATGAGATTGAATTCGTCACCAAGACATTGAACTGCTTGCCAATCGCCAATATTGAGCATTTCAGAGCTGAGAAGCTTGGCCATGCTGATCTTGTTGAGGAAGCCTCCCTTGGAGATGGAAAGATTTTGAAGATCACTGGAATCAAGGACATGGGGAGAACTACTTCTGTTCTTGTTCGTGGCTCCAACCAGCTTGTTCTAGATGAAGCTGAAAGGAGTTTACATGATGCCTTATGTGTGGTTAGGTGTCTGGTGAGCAAGAGGTTCTTGATTGCAGGAGGTGGTGCACCAGAGATTGAGCTCTCAAGGCAGCTCGGTACTTGGGCTAAGGTGCTACATGGGATGGAAGGTTACTGTGTGAAGTCTTTCGCTGAAGCCCTCGAGGTTATTCCTTACACACTGGCCGAGAATGCAGGGTTAAACCCTATCGCCATTGTGACTGAACTCAGGAACAAGCATGCTCAAGGGGAAATCAACGCTGGGATCAACGTAAGGAAAGGACAGATCACTAATATCTTGGACGAAAATGTTATTCAGCCCCTGCTTGTGAGTACCAGCGCGATCACTCTAGCAACTGAATGCGTAAGGATGATTTTGAAGATTGATGACATCGTTACTGTGAGGTAGTGTGGTAGTTTCTTTCAAAACAGGTCCCAGAACACTTCTATGCTCTATCTAAGCTTTTGTTTCTTTTTTGTCATGTTGTGTTTGCACAATGGTTTTGAACTTAGACTCCCTTTTCTTTCAACATGTGCTATTGCAGCTAAGTTGTTTAATTTGTGGTTTAGTGCGATTGTATTTCTTTCTAGTGACTTGTGATATCAAGATTTCTCTTTTTTTTTTTTTGTTTCATATGTTGACTAGTTTTGGTTATAAAAGTCAAAATTGTAGGAGTAGAATCAGAACTTCGATCACTGGGACTCAAATATTTGATCATGGGTCACAAAATTAGCAGCCTATCTGGATAATCAAATACTGGGTCACAAATGTTATAGATTCGTTGTATGAAAGATTAAGACAGTACACAGTTGCATGAACATGAGTTCTCCAGATCATTGGTCTGTCTCCAACCAGACCAGATCAGAACATTTGCTTTTCTATTGTCAACTTTGATTTAATGTTATCATCTTTTCATTTATTCATAAATAAATTGCAACCCAATTTTGATTACAACTCCAAAGTAAACGACTAGAATATCAGTTGTATGAGAGACCCACTTGAGGAGCCTGTGTGTTGGACAAGTTCTTGTGTGTATGTACAGAGCAGTAATGCGTTATGTTTGCAGCAGTGTAAACTTTTACACTTCAGATTCAGAAATACTCTTCTGGTGTTGTGCCTCAAGTAGATTTTTGGTCAATGACTCTGGATCTTGTTGACTTTCTTCAAGAACCAGTTTTCTTTCTTCGTTTTTCCCCCAAAGAACTAAGTAGAGCCCTAGCATTATGAACACTGCACCAACAATCCTGCAAAGCAAAAAGATTACATTAGATAGAGCAATAGAGAGGAACAAGACCCAGTATTCCCGTTTTCAATGCGTTTTACCTTCCGGAGTATAACTGATCACCAAGAATAAGAAACGCCATTGCAGCAACAAGAAGTGTCTGGAGAGGCTGGAAGACAGCGACAAAGACTGGACCGCTTTTGTAAATACACCATGTTTGAAGATACACCACCAACCCTGATGCTATTATTCCCTGTAAGCACGGCCAAAGAAACATTCATTTAGCTAATTTCATTGATTCAGATCATGGAAAAGAATGAGAGAGGGGAGCTTACAGCGTATAGGATGGTGAAGAGCTCTTCCCATGAGACGATGATCCAGTTATTAAGATCAGTTTCCACAAACAGAGCAATGACCAGAAACTGAATCAGACCAAAGAAACATGTGAAGGATGTTAAAGTGAGCTTTGCCGGGTATTGCTTTAGAACAGGAGCTTGAAGAACCATCCAACCAGCCCATGACAGACAATGTCCCATAAGGTATAACCATCCGAGTTTCCAGTTGTGCGATGATTTGTCAGATCCGATCACCTCTTCCTTTTGCATGTTAAGGCCCTGGTCAAATATCGGAAATCCTCTGTATAATGTGATCACGGTGGCTCCACCGATGCTCACAAGAGTTCCCAATACTTTGGCCACACCATGTTTCCTGACCAGGTCTATGTGCTCTAACCTTGATTCATTGCGGAAAATCAATGTTAGACACGCACAAGAGAATGATTAAAACGATAAATTTCTATGAAGAAGAGGTTGCTAGGGTACCTTAGTGTACAAGCCATGATGAAAGTGATGGCAGGAACAGAGTTCTGCATTGCGGAAGCAAACGTTGGAGTTGCATAGTAAAGTCCCAATAGGTAAAATCCTTGGTTCGCTGTGATTCTGATGTTAAACACACAAAAAGAGAGAATCAGTACTATAATTATCGATTAAAGGATTGAGGAATCGGTTGCTACTATTGTGTTCTCCGGTTAAGCTTTACCCTATGAGTGCCAAGAAGAAGAACTGCGCCAGTAAAGAGATTGTGAGTGGAGGTCTTTCCTTTCTGTTGATAAACAAAGCGCGCGCATTGTTAAGAATATTATCAACCAAAGAAAACAATATTATTAACTTGAGATCGTATCCCAAAAGCCCTAAAACTCTGAAAGATGTGAGGACTTACTTTTCGAAGAAGTAAGCGAAGGGACCTATGAGGAGAAGGGCAAGGAGATTCCGATAAACAGGGTACACAACTTTGCTGACACCAATGTTAAGAGCAACTCTTGAGACAATGTGGAAGCCTGCGAAACAGAACTGAAGTGTGATCAATGCCACCACAAGCTTCACCTTCTCTGATACTACTCCTTTCCCCATTGTCTCTTCTTCTTCTTCTTGAGCTCTTCTCTTTTTGAATTTTGATAGCACATTAAGATTGCTTTTATACTAAAGTGTGTGGTGGTGACTTGAGATTTAAAATACAGAAAAATAATTATCAATAATCAATTAAGGAAGAAAGAGATGGTACATAATTTCTTCAAGTGGGCCACTATAGTTGTTTATCAATTAATGATTATGAATAATATACTGATATAAGATGGTTATTTGACTGTAATAATTCGATTCGGAGGTTGAATGTTTATGTGACTTGGATATATGTATGTATTTTTATTTTATTTTATGGGTGTTAAGGATATGTATGTATTGGTATAAGTTTCACTCATGTTTAATGAGAGGAGAAAATTTTGGGTCCTTTATGTCATCCAATTTGAATTTGTGAAACGGCGACAATAGTTATACAAACCCCTATTTTATCAATATTCCCGTTAAATGTTGACATCTACATATATGTTTACTTTTATTTTAAGTTGGCGATTTTAGTTTTTAAGAATAATAGCATACTATGGTTATGGTTAGATTTGATACATTTTGTCATATGGCTTTTTTTAATACAATTGGATTTTTAATTAGACGTATCATTAATTTGAAATACAAATTCTATGGATAACAGAAGAAACATATCATTAGTTTTACTTTTTGGATAATAAAAATTTCATCGTTTTGGATTCGGTTCGAATCAGTTCGTTATATAGGATCTAAACATATACGAAAGTTAGTACATATTAACAAAAAAAAGAATTGAAAGTAAATTTGTGAACTATAGTAGACAAAATAGTTTTTGATAGTGAATTCTTCATTTGGGGATTCAGTTGGTTTCTATTATGTTTATAGAGCCGTTTCTTATGTAATAATGATGAGTTTATGGAATCGAATAGCATGTGATGTACCTCATAATTAGGCATCTTGTCTTGAATGTGGAAAACCATTAATAATTTGATTGATAAGTTTACTAGTAATATCCATCCAAGGAGCACTAACCACCGTTTATTCATTCAGTTAACTTGTTTTGTTTCATGTCATTATATTCCAAAAAACGGCTACACCAAATGTACCATCAATTAGCTTGGATTTTAAAACTATGGCATCTTCCTAAAATATTTGTTAAACATATAACTTGACCTAATTTCTAATGTATTAAGAAACTGTTGTTTTAAATAATTTTTAGCAATCACTTAAAATAATGTTTACTATGTACTCTCTCTTTTCTTTTTCTTTTAGTGGCCCGAAAGAGGGACACATGCAATATTCTCAATTTATTCAGCCCATGATATGAAAATTCTCAGTTTTAATTATATAATCAAAATATGCCAACTTCAGAATCCAAAACTAACAACACAATCATCAGATCACCAAATATCAATAACAAACTGGCAAAAAAAAAAACACCTAGACATCAAATCTCTGGAAAAAAAATTCAGTCAGATCCTAAAGAATCCCTGTTGAACTCAGATTTAACATTAAGAAAATCTGCAGAATGAAGATGAATTAGTTTTGTTTTCAACGACTTAGCACACACCTAGACATCAAATCCTTTAAAATATTAAATCAGACCGCAAAGAATCCATATTGATCTTATACTATCATGAAGATGAATGGATTGTGTATTCATCTACATTGCAATTAGTGTGATCATATAAACATCGTATCTACATAGATAGTCAAAAGATACCAAGAAACCCGAAAAATGAAATGAATTTGGTGAGAAGAATGAATTGTAAGAGACATAAATAACAGATCCATAAGGATTCAATGATCAGCCTTAAAGTCAACTATAATTTGGGTTGGTAGTACCGTTTCACAACCAATTTCGATTTGTCTTGCCATCAAATAACAAGACAGCAACAAAACACATTCTAAACTTTCTTCTCTCTTCCATTATTTAGAACAACGTGCACAATGGCCCTAATGTTCATTTCTATTCAAAAGAGACTACCATAGTAATCGATTCGGGTTCTATAAGAGCAAAATCCATTATTTGCGGCTCTAGCCATCGGTCAAGAGTACAACTCAGTAGGAAAACGATTTGAGGCGAATATGGAGACTTAGGAGAGCAGAGTCACCACATCCAATTAGATAACACCAATTCTTCCTTGTACTCATAAGAAAGAATAAACAAAAAAACAAAAATCGGATAACAATATGACTCCTTGTAATACAAGTGAAGTTGAGACTAGATTTCATGTACATAATTTTATCAAAGAGTCTGAGAAAAGATAAACAGAGACCCATATACCTCAAATGATTTCTACATAGGCTCAGTTTTAAGTCAGCTTAAAACAGGAGCAATTCTTCAGAGCTTGATCTCAAGTTTTAAAGTCATCCAATATATGTTGTTGCTTATCTTACTAGTTTTTCATCAATTGCTCATCTTACTAGTGTTCCATCAAGCTTGGGTGTGACGTGCTTTAAACAATTTCTGCAATAGCAATAAAGAGCATAGAATCATCGACCATTCTAGTAAACAGAGAGCTACATAAGCTTGATCAATCACAGGCTTACCTTTCTTAGAGCATCAATCGACCGCACTTTCTCATCTCTCTTTTCACAAAAGCACTCTCCACACCAGCTGGAGAATTCCTTCTGATGAGTTTTGAGCTCTCTAAACACAGAACTGCAAGGAACAACACGAAAGACAAGCTTAATACGAAACCGAATAACAATGAAAGTCAACTGCAATGCAAAAAAAAAAGAAGATGCATGGCAGTCCAGAGGCAAGTTTCAGTTGTTATTTACCTTCTGCACCATAGTAGCATATTGACCCGATGCCCGGATGTTGTGGCTCTGGCACCATGGCGGTGGCGCCCACGGTGAAGCACAGCTTGTCCAGGTATATGATCATAATCAAATATTTCCTGCTTTCGCATAAAAGAAGAGTTGTTTATATTAGCCATCAGCCATATACAGAATGTTAAAAGACAAGAAAGCAACAGAAAAGAGTGGCATACATCTGCCTTTGTTGCTGTGTTCACATGTTTTTCACACCGTGTACCTCTGAAAAATAGCTCCCCTCCCACAAATTGATTACCCAAACAAACATTCAGCGTTACTTCTGAATCATCCACATGAAAGCCTGCAAATTTATATAACATCTGATTATTTTCAACCAGAATTACGTGAGTATTGGAGTATATCTGCATTTAGGACAACTAGTCAGGTCATGTGAAAATTATGCAGGATATGTCAAAGGGCCTCACCTAAATCAACATCCCTATCTTTACCATATTCAACAACAAAACCATGGTGAGAGTCCAGAGATGCTCCACCCACATCACTGAAGAATACTACAAAAAAAGATGTGAAGTTGCTTTTTAGTTAACACAGTAACATATTAAACAGACTTTCCAATAATAGTCTATGTAGTGAATTTAAGTTATATATACATTTAGAAATGGGACGTATAAAACCCTCCATGAGTTTGTCAAGCATGGTATCCAGACCAAAGTCGTCAAGCACAGCGCCGTATTTATTCATGGTGTTTGGTCTCATTATCCGGAATTTGGTCTCACCCACCCACCTTTCAAAATTGTCTATCTGCATGGTCAAAAAACAGCACATGAACAAAATACGAAGGTAAAGAGAAGGATAAGAGAAAAACAAAAAAGGATACACATTACCTCGGATAGCATCATCTCGCAAAAGCTAGGCTGGAGCATGTCAAAGACGAAAACACCAGGAGACGGTTCAGATATTATGTTTCTGAAGCTTTCCTCTGTGCTTTCATTTATCGCCTTAAGGAAAGAGGGAACAAAACATACTGTGGGAACTAGAGTATACAACTCCCTGTGAAGTGGCTGCAGTAGGAAAACACTTCAAACTACTAACAAATGACTGGAGCAGAGCAATACAGAACACAGTGAAGTTCAAGAAAGGATTCACACCTGATAATTTGATATAATCTTCTGCCTATAATCCCTGTGCCTTTGAGCCTGTCGCATCATCCAAAAACAAAACTACTTTGTAAAAATCCTAAGCTCATATTGACATATTCAAACCACACATGCAATATCTTCTACCATCATCTAACCAGATTGATCAATAACCACTTCAATAAAGTGAAGCCAATTCATAGCAGCAAAAGCTCAAATTTTCATCAATGAAATGTAAAACTTAAAGAACTTCTAAAGCATTTCCCATCTCACCAACACAAGTAAACACAAACAATTCAGAGAGAAAGGTCCAAATCTAGTACTTACTCTAGAACGCTCTCCATGAGGAAGATGCCTAAGCATAATGTCAGTCATGAATTTGATTTTCTCATCGCGATTCGAGACCAGCATATTCGGAGGCAAGTACTTCTCGAGACTAGAATATACCGAGTTTGGGAAATCAAGCTGCAGATCTTCGTAAGTATCTGGTCTATGCTCGTTGTTAGGGTTTAGCCTTAGTCTCTGGCAAGAAGCCATCGTAGAAGTAGCTCTCAATGTCGCAGCAACCGCCGAATGAGAATTATTGCCTCCAATTGTTCCGTTACCTTCCACCGTCGTCGTCGTCGTCTCCTGCGAACCTTCTCGCTGCTCACTTGACATTACTGCAGAAGCTAGAGAATTCAAGTGAGAAAAACTAGGGTTTCTTCTTCACACTACATTCCAAAAGCAAAAACCCAGAATCTTAAAGAGAATTGAAATCGGCTTTTTTAGCTCTCGATCTGGAGATTCTGATTTTTGAGTTCCCGTTGAAGTTAGGGTTTCTGAATGTTCCCTCGAAGATTTTTTTTACTTTTTTTATTTTTGTTAAATTACGCACGAAATGTCCAGTCACACACTTTATAAGAGTTACTAAATGATTATCCGGCCCACTTTTAAGGCCCATTAAATAATTCGAACCTGTTATTTGGTTGAAATTGAAATTACCGGTTCCATAGCATTACCGGTTATATGACCATCGAATCATGAATTTGGATAGCTAGAATAAAGTTATGTCACACCATTCAGATTTCATGGAGTCGAACAAATTCTTCTCCCAGAGATTATAATACAACGTACGACAACGACAATGACTCGGAAAAATAAAATTACTTAAGTTTAGGGAAGATAACAGAATCATGGTAAAGTTTCCGATTGCAGAGACAATCGAAGGAACAATAGAAGTCTTGTTCCTGCTTTAAAGCTACAGAATCCTGACAGCGACGGTCGCAATGACAACACAAAGGTCGACTAAGAGTATTGTTGGCAATAATGTCCAAGTCATCCTCAAATCGAATAGGAATTTCCTCAATGTAACACTCAAGAAGTTCAGTAGGAGTATCGTGCCAAATCGTTTCAACTTCCTCGTTGAGACGAGCGGCTTTGATCATGATTGGACCAGGCTTGAAATATGGGTAGGTTCCAAGCAAACATGGAATGTGTAGAGTGACCCCACAATCGTTACAATTGTAAAACCATTGCTTGGGATCTAATTTTGTTTCGCAGGTTTCACACCAGTAGTGACCTTCTTTCGCGTCCTCTTCTTCTTCTTCTTCTTCACCGCAACAGAGGATGAGAGGATGTTTGTCGTGCTTGTATAATACTTTATCTGGTAAAGTAGCACATTCGAAACACATGAAGTAGTTGGGGCATTGTAGACAATATAGAACTATGTATGATTCTTTCCTGCAATTCCCACATGTTAAGCTACTTGTGTTCATCAAACAAACGAACAGAGGATGTGGATGACATTTATGGTTGAGCTTCTCAGGTATTGCAACACACCGTACATCTACTTCCAAATGACAATTCTCTTTTTCACAGACGTACCTAAAACCGCTAGAGAACCGAGTACACATAGAACAGGAGTAGAATCCACTGCGGGCCCTGTGGGGAGAGTACACGGTCATGTTATCATCAGCTTTTAGAGTAAGCGGGTGACGATGCAGCGGGTGCCATCTCCTCTTTCGAAAGTTGGCACATTCTTGGTGAAGGATGAAATCGCAGTGATCACACGTGTACAAGTTCTCAAACTCGATAAGAAGGTTACACGCTTGGCAACGACTAGTTTTATCACCATCCAGATTGAGAACGAATCTCAGATGATGTTTATGGCTGAAATGTTTGATGAGGTTGTCGTCTATAACCTCATATGGCTCCACATCTTGAAGCTCATCCACATCTTCAGGGACATCTTCAAGTTCGCTCCCGTCCCAAACATTCTCCAATGTTGCACATAGCGTATGGACCGCATAATCGCAACTTTTAGTGCAGAGAAAGGCTCCATACCTGGGATCAACCTCCAAGTGACAAACTCCACATAATCGTCTCCCTGGAGGAAGATATAGTTTCCTAGAGATTCGGTGTTCATGGCATGAGATCCTTATCACGCGTGGTAGATCCAAGCAGTTACGATGAACCATTAAGTCGCACTGGACACAAGCGTATATAGGAAACCAATGGCCAAAACGTGCGCAGATATTGCAGGTGAAATGCATCATTCTAGGAAATATTGTTAGAGGATGATGGTGGTTCTTACCCGGATCCAATGTTAGAACAAGTTGGGGTTGGCTAGCGCAGAAGAGATGGATGTTCAAATTGCAGATGGAGCATCGATAGAATACGTAACCCATGTATCTATTGCACCAGAAGCAGTTCTCCGTAGTCTCTAAAAATTTGCGGGTACAAATCTGTAGAGGGTGTATCGGATGATACGGATGGGTGATTTCGGTGGAATACGTTATGCATTCTTTGTGATAGTTTACTATAGAATCTCTACAAGTAAAGCAATGATAGTAATGATCGGCTTTGGTATGAAAGTTACAAGCCTTGCATTCGGATTGACCAGCTACAAGGGTTAAAGGGTGTTTATGTGTAGGTTGAAGTTTCACTGAATCCATACTGGAGGCAATTGTTTTGGGGGGTTTTATTTTTACACCAAGAAATTATGTTCAGATTTTATAGGCAAAAATCATGTCAAACAAAAAAATGCAAAATGTTCAAAAATTTCAAACAAATAGTTAAATCTCTTGTCTTATAAACGACAGCTTAGCATATTGTTTATTGTTGCACAACTCTCAAGTTAAGTTATTTGTCCACTGAAACCTAGTCGTAGGATTGATTATATATAAACTTCACTATTTTAATGATAATTTAAAACAACCTAGTGTATAAGAGCTAGGTATGAGATTTATATCCGTTATCCGCGGATATCCATATCCGTATCTGGTTTTTAAATTTATTGTTCGTCGTCTCTGACTATAAGATGTGTTAACCTCGAAGGTGCTTTACCCAAGGGTAGAAGGCCTTACGACTTTACTTCAATACGGACTGTTTCAGATCATGTCGAGAACCCAACGTGTTTGTATTAGACACTATTACTTAAAAAAAATGGACTTTTCTTTTTGTGGATTACAAGCCTGGAGGCAAGTTTTGGGGGTTTTATTTTTTGACACTTACACCAATAAATTATGTTCACATTTTATAAACAAAATCATGTCAAACAAAAAAAGCAAAATGTTTAAAAAGTCAAACAAAAAGTTCAATCTCTTTTCTTTTATTGTTGCACAACTCACCATATTTTTTTGACACTTACACCAATAAATTATGTTCACATTTTATAAGCAAAATCATGTCAAACAAAAAAAGCAAAATGTTTAAAAAGTCAAACAAAAAGTTCAATCTCTTTTTTTTTATTGTTGCACAACTCACCATACTTTTTTGACACTTACACCAATAAATTATGTTCACATTTTATAAGCAAAATCATGTCAAACAAAAAAAAGCAAAATGTTTAAATATTCAAACAAAAAGTTCAATTTCTTTTCTTTTATTGTTGCACAACTCACCATACTTTTTTGACACTTACACCAATAAATTATGTTCACATTTTATAAGCAAAATCATGTCAAACAAAAAAAGCAAAATGTTTAAAAAGTCAAACAAAAAGTTCAATCTCTTTTCTTTTATTGTTGCACAACTCACAATACAAACAACAAACAAGCACACAAGAAAATAACTTCTCCTCAAGTAGCGGGAGTAAATTGTACTTCCTCCATTTCATAATATATAAATCATTTTAGGATAAACATGCCGATTAAGAATATTTACTTTTAAAAATTCAACCAATAAAAAAAAACTGCATAATATAAATATCACAAAATATAAAAGTAATATTCCCTCTGTTTTATCATTCTACACTTTTAGACATATATTAAGAAAGCTATTAAAATTTCTATTATAATACACTAAACAAAATTATTTCTTTTATTAATACATTAAAGAAAGAGAGACTCACAAAAATACCATTTTTTCAATATCCCTTTTCAAAAATGCCCCATTTGGCTGTCTATTTTTAAAAATACCCTTTTTTATGTACAAAATGACTAAATTACCCTTCTTTTAATAAAAGATATCACAAATATATAAGGAAAACATGAGAATGTGCACACATCAAAATTACAAATTTGATTTTGTAAAAACTTGTAAAACCTTTAAAATACCTTATAAAATTTTCCCGTAAAAATTTTTCCCGCCAAAAAATTTTTCCGTCAAATTTTTTTTTTTGCGGGAAAAGTGATTCCGCAATTTTTTTGGCGGAAAAAATTTACAAGGTATTTTAAAGGTTTTTACAGGGTATTTATAAGGTTTTACAATGTATTTTAAAAGGTTTTACAACGTATTTATAAGGTATTTATAAGATATTATAAGATTTTACAAGCTATTTTATAAGGTTTTACAAGTTTTTTATAAGGTTTTACAAGTTATAAATACTTTATAAAACCTTATAACTACCTTGTAAAACCTTTTAAAATGCATTGTAAAACCTTACAAAACATTTGTAAATACTCTGTAAAACCTTTAAAATACTTTGTAAATTTTTTCCGCCAAAAAAATTGCGGAATCACTTTTCTCGAAAAAAAAAATTTTGACGGAAAAATTGCGGGATCACGTTTCCCGCCAAAAATTTGCGGGATCACTTTTCCCGCCAAAAAATATTTTGTATTTTGTAGACCTAATTTTGTTTCAAATAAGAGTAAAATGGTTTTTAAAAATTAAAAGAGGGCAAACTTAAAAATGGACTCTCAAATGGGGCATTTTTGAAAAAGAGTATTGAAAAATGGGCATTTTTAACAATTTCTCTTAAAGAAATAAGGTTAAAATTAGATTTTTACTCAAAATTTTGCATTGAAAATACAAAATGACACTCTTTGTGAAACAAAAATAAAATTTTAAAACGATACTCTTTGTGAAACGGAAGAAATATATATTTTGTATTGAAATTTGAAAACGATTTATATTGTAAAATAAAAACTTAGTCCAAAATGCCATATATTATGAAACGGATAGAGAGAGTATTTCTCATGAAGTTCCTAACTAATAAAAAAAAAAAAAAAAAAAAAAAACTAATAATAAATTCAAATCGCAGTTTGGTGTAGATCTCGAAACACATATATGAAAATCTCGATAGAATTGATTCAACCGAAGCAGACTTTATATAAGACAAAATCGATTTGGGATAATATATTTTTCACTTGGACTTGGTCAATAGATTCGGAAAAGATAATGTATAAAATGTTTAGTGAATTGTATAATCGAATTGTATATATTAATTACATTGAAAATATATCTATTTCTGTGGCTTTAGTGAAGTCAAGTGAATTCATTTTGCATTTTTGCTAATCAAAATTTAGATGAATTTTTACGGGATATAACGTCACTCATAGATTTTTAAAATATATGGGCCGACTTGACAATCCAAATCAAATTGATTTTGGGCTTCAATATTTGGGCCGGAAAAACTTCTCCGACCAAACCTAAACGGATTGTCCTTCTATTTGAACAAGACTATGTGTAACTAGGCTAGCACAAATAAACCAAACTGAATGTATCGAACCGAAACCGAAACAACAAAAACCAAACCGAATCAAACCAAAAATTTGAAAGTAATTGAATAAATACTAATTTTAATAACCAAAATAACCGTAACCGAATCGGTACCGAACCGAAATATTTTGAGTAACTGAAATACCCGAAATACCATTATATTTTCAAAATAATTAGTTATTTATAGACCAAATAATAATAAATATATAAAAATAGTTAAAATACTCAAAAATAACCGAAATATATCCAAAATATCCAAAAATACTAAAAAATAATCGAAATATCCGAAAATATCCTAAACAAAATAACCGAATGAAAACTAACGGATGAATCTAAATAACCAAAACCGAAATAACCAAAACCAAATGGATCCAACGGATAACCGAAAGCCCTTACCTAACGTCGTAAGAGAGTGATAGTCTCTGTCTCTCTGATAGAGAAGTTCGTTGGACTTGAGTTTGTCTGTTAGTGTTAACACGTGTGAGATATCGATAGTCTTCTCTGGAGTTTGTTAAGTTAACACGTGTGAATGATAATTTCGCTCTCAAAGCTTTGGTGCTTTTCGTCTCTTGCCTCTTCCAAAATCTTTTGGCCGCCATCACTCTTTCCGATCACGGAACAACCGAAACTATATCTGCGGCGAAGTAGAAATGTGGAAGGAGGAATCTTTGGATTTAGTGCTTGTGCCGACAGGTCTGGTCGTGATGGTCGCTTACCATGTCTGGCTCGTCTACGCCATCCTCCACCGTCCCAAGCTCACTGTTATCTCTCTCAACGCTGAGTCTCGACGACAATGGGTCTTCTCTATGATGACTGTACGTTTCTTCTCTCTTCTCATTTCTATTGTTCCTATTTTTTGAGATTCTGGGGTTTTCTGGTATTTCTGATTCTGAGGTCTAAATTAGGGTTTATGCTGTGGGAATTGTTTGGTAATTCTTGTTTGAAACGCCAGGTTTATGGCAATAGAGCTGCTTTGTTCGCGATTTTAGGAATTGGGGTATTGATTGAGATTCTTACGGCTCTCTTATGAAATTAGGGCAAAAAGGGAATGCTTTTTGTCCTGAGTTTATGAAGTTTTCCTCTTTGAATTCATTTTTCATGATTCTGAGGTTTTCGAGGTCAGTTAAAAACTAGTAAACCATAAATTTGAATCTGCCAAACATTGAATAGCAAAATTGAGCAGGGCTTATGAGAGTAAAGATGATGAGATAGATGGTTAGATGTGAATCTTCATAAGTAGAATCAATGCTGAGATAGATGGTTAGCTATCTTCCTTGGAAGCTAAATATTTTTCAAGAACTCTTCTTGTTCATGGAGGATATATTCTTCTCGGTAGATTTATGCATCACAGATCCCCGTAGTTTTATCTCTACACAAATTTCAGCTAGAATCTTGGAGCTAGTCAATGGCTTTCATTGGATAGGAACAGCTAGAATCTTGGAGCTGTTCCTAACCAAACAAGAACTGTTCGAATTATCAGTGGTCTTGGTCGCACTGTTGTTTCTTTTGCAGTAGATGATATAAGTTTATTTATTCTTGTTTTCAGGAACCACTGAAAAATGGTACCTTGGCTGTTCAGACAATCCGGAACAACATAATGGCATCAACCCTTTTAGCCACAACAGCAATCACTCTATGTTCCATCATCGGCGTCTTTGTAAGCAACTCGTCAGCTTCAAAATCCACCCCGACAAGTCTCATATACGGGAACAAAAGCCCTCGCTTAGCATCAATCAAGAACTTTGCAATCCTGATCTGCTTCCTCATGGCCTTTCTCTGCAACATTCAGTCAATCAGGTACTACGCTCACGTAAGTTTTCTAGTCACAGTGCCTGTCTCGAGAGGGAAAAGAGAGCACTGCGAGTACGTTTCTAGAAACCTGAACCGAGCTAGCTACTTCTGGTCTCTCGGATTACGGGCTTTCTACTTCTCATTCCCGCTCTTCCTATGGACCTTCGGGCCAATCCCGATGTTTGTGTGCTGTTGTATGATGTCCTCGATTCTATATTTCTTGGACACGACCACTAGTTTCACCAGGCATCTCCATAGCCAGTCATTCAGAGAAACGGCTGATTCAATGGACGGTGAAATCGAATCAGCAGTTCATGCTCTGTAGATTCTTCTCTGATTTTTGTTGTGTATAAAGAGGAGTATTAACGGAGTGTTTTTGTAATGTGATGGAACAACATTGGCTGCGATTGTGTATTTGTGTTTTCATGTTACAATGATTAGAATATTATAATATGAAAACGCAAACGCCTACCTAAACGCAAACAAACAATTTCTTGGGATTTGTTCTCAAATGTAATAATGTATTTCTCCTTCATCACTGAACGTAACGGTTTTAGCTTTTTTCTTATAAGCGAATTTTCTGGACCAGAGTTCGGAAATTTCATGGTATGTTATGTTTGGTTATTCGGTTCTTAGTTTTAGGCTTGTTTAAGTAAGAAAACTGGAAACAAAACAAGAACAAAATTGTTAGAAATAAATAAGCGCGACACTCAAGCAAGCACCAAAATTGGATTTTGGGTTTGCTTGAATTAATTAATTCGGTTAAGTGTTGGTTCTTATGTTATGTCGTGCTTCAGACTACCGAAAACAATTATTTCTAAACTTACTAGTGCGGTTGCTAATTTTTGGTGGAGTTCGAATGGTGACTCTAGAGGTATGCATTGGATGGCCTGGAATAAATTATGCAATAGCAAATCGGAAGGGGGTTTGGGTTTCCAGAATGTAGACGACTTTAACTCAGCATTATTAGCTAAACAGTTATGGCGGTTGATCACGGTCCCAGATTCTCTTTTTGCGAAGATTTTTAAAGGACGGTATTTTCGGAAATCCAATCCTTTGAAATCCAATCCTTTGGAAAATATAAAATCCAGATTCCAACGGCGATCGGGATTTTTCCCACGAAATCCATTTTTGCGAATTTGGATCACTTATTTTGGAGAATACCTTCAGACTTTGATTTTTCAGCTTTTCCATGGATTATATGGTATATTTGGAAAACAAAGAATGAAAAAATCTTTGAAAATATAGATAAAGACCCGTTAGAGGTATTACGGTTAGCAGAAAAAGAGAAACAATTATGGCAAGCAGCTCAATTAGAGCTCCAAGAAGAAAATCATGGTGTTGTGAGTTCGGCAACTCTGTCCCAAGTGAGGGAGGTTTTTTTTGATTCAAACTATTCAGGATATCGTTGTTTCGTGGATGGATCGTGGAAAGAAAGTGATAAGTTCTCCGGTACAGGGTGGTTCTGTACATCGTCAAATGGAGAGCCGCCAACCATGGGAGCTGCGAACCTCCGTAGAAGTCTATCTCCACTACATGCCGAAGTCGAGGCCCTTCTCTGGGCGATGAAGTGTATGATTGGTGCAGATCATCAAAATGTAGCGTTCTTTACAGACTGTTCAGACCTGGTGAAGATGGTGTCTTCTCCAACCGAATGGGCGGCGTTTTCAGTGTATTTGGAGGAATTTCAGAGCGACAAAGAGGAGTTTTCATCTTTTTCTTTATCTTTAGTTTCTCGTAGAGCTAATGTCAAAGCTGATAATCTGGCACAAAAAGTTCGTACAGAACCGCTTCATATCACATTTGTAAACAACATTCCTCAGGAATGGTTCTTTTGAATTTTAATTAATTTCGGATGACAAAAAAAAAAAGGTTAAGTGTTGGTTTTAGATGGTTTAGTATCGGTTTAGATTGTTAACCGATTAAACCCAATTCTATGGAGAAATAAGTTTTGAATTATGGATTCGGAAAGATATAGATTTTAAAATATTTATTCAGGGACATTTGCAACGTCGTGTAGATTGGGTTTTATCTAGTACGATGTCATAGTTCTCATGGGAAATAGATCGTTTTTTGGTTTTTTTTTCCGAATATTTCTAAGGATTTGAAACTTCTGGAATGGGCCGGGCCTAATATCTATCTTTTCTTTATCTCTATATCTTACATTCTTACGCTACATGCTGGCTGCATTTATATGGATGTTTTGTCTATTTTTTAAGTTAAGATGGTTCATGGTTGGTCTATTGTTGTGCGTGGGTGTGTTTGTTGAGTTTCAAGAGATACATATTAACGGAGTGTCTTTGATTTAATGGATTCTAATGTAACAGTTTGCCTGTGAGTTTTCATGTTATAAATCCTCGCGTAAATTAAATGCAAACAAATAATCCAAATAATAGTAGTCTACTATGTAATATTGTAATCTCTTGGGCTTTATTCTTCTTTTTTTTCACTGAAAGTAATGGTATGGCCGATACGGTGCAAGAACTTCTTTGGTTACGTGAATTGCTCCCAGCTCTTGGTATTGAGTGTTCCGCTCCTATCACTTCCATTCCGATAGCTTATCGGCGATCAGTTTAGCTTTAAATCCGGTCTTTCATGCTCGTACTAAACATGTCAGGAAAGATGTTCATTTCATACGTGATGAAATCGTTTGAGGGGTTATTGTCCCTAAACATGTCCACATGACGTCTCAGCTCGCCGATATCATGACTAAAGCTTGGGTCGTCAGGAGTTTGAATCGTTTTAGTCAAGCTGGGTGTGTGTAATCTCCACACGCCACCTTGAGGGGGGGGGGGTATTGGGCCTAGTTGGGCTTTGTATATATCGACAAATATAAGTCGGTTTGATTCGTTTAGGTTAATGTAAACTCTGTGTATATAAGGCACTTGGCCGTCGAATATGATCAATGAGAAATACCTTTTACAACTACTAAGAGCACTTCCATTAGTGATAAATGGAGTGTCTTCTTTTATTTTTTAATATTAGATTAAAGACACTCATCAAGAATGAGAAACAAAAATGTCTTTAACAAGACACTTAAGCCCTTATTGAAGACACTCTTAAATTTTGTGTCATATTTTGATTGGTTCTAAATTTTTTAGATTAATATTTAATAAATAAAATTAATTAAAGACATTTTTAATGATGTTGTGCGATGGGTGTTCTTAACAGTTGAGGTCTAATATTACTAAAAAAATAGAAAATTTAAATTTCTTTTTTTACGAAAAAACCCGAAAAAACCGCCATCTATTTTTTTTTTTGCCGTTTAATACGCGTATTATTAAAGTTGGAATAAAAATACCTCATTTAGTTTCGGTTGCCTTTTAAAACCTTCATTTTTAAAAAATTGGTAAAATCGTACCTCCGAGTTAACGACCGTTAACTTTGCTAACGGAAGCACTAACTGCGGTTAAAACTTAACCCATGGTGTTTCACAGTATCTATATACAATCTCTTTTCATAACTTTACGAATAGATTGACTTAGTCAGGTGGTTAAATGCTTGTACACTGTCCAATTTAACATGGGTTCGAATCCCCCTTCCATCTTTTGACGTTTTTTAATTTTTTTTCTCCTTCTTTTGTATCTTCCTCTTCTCCTTCTTTAATTTTTTTTTCTCCTTCTTCTGTGTCTTCCTCATCTTCTTCTACAACAAAATCTCCCACCCATCGAAATCTGCAGAGCCTTCTTCATCTTCTTCTACAACAATCGATCAACACATGGATTCGGTTTGATCTGCGTAAAGAGAAGGTGTGCGCCACCATTCACTGACGGAGGGAGAAGTTGCTTCGCGTCGGAGATTGAATTGAGAAAATCTCGGATTAGGATCTTCCAATCTTCACAATTGAGAAATCAGTAGATCTAGGCTGCACAATCTTCGCATCTCAGCGAGCAAAAAAGTTGAAGAAAAAAAAAATTAAAGAAAAAATTAAAAAAACGTCTAAAAACAAAAGGGGAACTCGAACCCGGGTTCAATTAGACAGCTTTCCCGCACTAAACCACCTGACTAGATCAATCTATTCGTAAAATTGTCAAAAGAGATTGTATATATACTCTTAAATATCATGGGTTATGTTTTAACCGCAGTTAGTGCTTCCGTTAGCAAAGTTAACGGTCGTTAACTCTGAGGTACGATTTTACCAATTTTTTAAAAATGAAGGTTTTAAAAGGCAACCGAAACTAAATGAGATATTTTTTTTCCAACTTTAATAACACGGGTATTAAACGGCAAAAAAAAAATAGATGGCGGTTTTTTGGGTTTTTTTCCTAAAATAATACTCCTTGAGAGACAAAGAAAGACGCATTGCAAGTTGTACCCACTTGCCTTGAAGAAGAAAAATTATTGATATTTTAATCTTCTTCGACTTTTTGTTCTGTGTCCAATTTTAGAACTTTTACTCTATTTTCATCCATCCAATCTCCTTGCCTCTATAATAGTATACCAAATCGACAAATTGTTTTTTGTTATGTAGGTCGAATCCAAAGATCGATTTTGATATTGTTATGTGTGTGCATGACTAGCTAAGCTAATGCAAAATTTACATATCCCAGAATTATTGTTGAACTTTTTTTTTTTTTTTTTTGTTGCCGAATCTTTGCGCAAATGTTGTATCTCAGTGGATGGTGACTTATTGTTGAACTTTGCTTAGAAGATCTGATTAAGATAATCATGCTTGACAGCGTCATCGCGATTTTTGTTTGTTCATGTCATTGAAGCTTCTTGAAACACCTGCCAAATGAATTAAAGAAAGTAAAGAAAATTTGACAACCCAATGTACTCTTGCAAATAATGACGAAACTATTTAAAACAAACTGCATTATACTATAATGTATAGAAAATGCGATATATATTACCACATTGGTCTAGACATAAATAACATGATATGACAGATCAAGTTACCAAAAAAGAAAAACCTTTACCTGCCTTGAAGCATTGACAAGAAAGTAATGTTAACTAAACTTAAATCACCTAATATGTGATATATATGCACCCATGTTAGTATTATGCATAGATGTGACTGTGCGTATATGTAGGTGAGAGAGAAGAAGAAATAAAGGTGGTGACAGAAGTATAGAGAGCACAAAAGAGTAGAGATGCAGTCTCTTTCTCTCCCTCTCCCTCTACATCTGATCTCTCTCTCTCTCTCTTTCTTGAATTTGTTATACATATTTTATCATCCACATGGGGTGTGATGATATATGTATGTGCTTGCATGTCATCCTTAGTGCTCTCTATCTTCTGTCAACAACCAGCATCACTCTCAAACGTATGTGTGATATATGCAACATCATAAAGTATGTATGTATAATATGTACTAATTAATGTTTGAATATATATATGTGTTAAGTATATATAAACAATAGGGAGTGTATGAAGTGACAAAGAGAAATGGAGAGTAATGTGTATATATATAGGAGTAAGTTGAGAGACCTCTCTCCACAGAATGTACCCAAACGTTGACTCTTTCTACATCTAGCTACATTCCCCTCCACACAAAGATATATCCAACACCCAACATAAAATTCTTCATTTGAAAAATGAAATCATGCATATGATAAGTTTTATCCTTAATGAAGATTTCAAAACACTAGGAGAATGACTTGAAAAAAAAACAATATGAGTTCAAAATTGGAATATAATATTCATCCATATGCATCCTCTAGACCTAATTGAAGGTATCAAGCGATACATTAGAATATAATTGGCTAGAATTTATGATTTATTCTGTTGAGTTCTAATATCAGAATATTACTAATATTCGGCATCCAATACGTAGATAACACCGAATTCTTCCGTATAACGATGCCAAAATCTGGCTGGGAACACGAGCCAATCAATGTGGTAATCATGTGACATGATCAGATGTGGAGGAGATTTATTTGACTTCAAAGTTTTGTTTGGCAATGGCTGGCAAAAACCCTAAACCCACCAACCAACCGTACGTCCTCAATGTTAGAGGTGTGTAGGGTAGCAACACCAATTTAACTTCTCAACAATAGGACTAAAATTGACCCTTTCGTGTGTTTCAACCGACAAAACCAAAAATAGTAACTTTTGTAACTAGTTATCGTGACTAGTATTCTAGCAAAATAAATGACCGGAACAGTGATCATCTCTAACAATGCGTTTTATATGATGATCAACACATTTGTTATTTAATCTTTTTGATAAATAGTTCTCGATTACCTTTACGATAGAATAAAAAGTTATTTGGGATGTTTTTATTTTGAAAATCAGTACAATTGCATAAATGACTTATTATGTCTATAAATATATATACTCACTCATGTTTTAACTCTTTAAGGCATAAAGTTTTGTATAGATAACTTTTTTTTTTCTTTTTAACTAGGAAAATTTGGACCTTTAATTGTTTTATTAATTTTCTTTACAAAACTTGATAACACTCGTGACAGATCTATAACTAGATCATTACTTTCTATGCATAACGCGAACTCGATTGTGGTGACATTGAAGCAATATAATGCACCTCTTAACTGGTTGAGCTAAACGCACTTGACTAATTTACTTTATCTTTGAATGCGATATTAATGTCTCAAGGGTAGTTTAATATAAGAAACACTTCAATGTGGCTGTTTCTAAATCACCACAAAAACAAGCTAGTTAGTAGTGACCAACAAAACACCAGTTTAAACTGGTAAGATGTAACGCTGTTTAGAAAACCGGAAGGGTTGGCGAATTTAGACAGTTTTATCAAAAATTGAAGAGGGAAAACGACAGATCACCAAAGTAGGGACTATGACATTAAGAAGGGAATCAAAACTTAGTGTTTGGTTATTCATGGGTTTGTCTTTTTTCTCTTGTAATTCACTTCTTTTTTGTCTTCTTCAGTTACACTTATTACTTCTTTGGGGGTTAAAATGTGAAAGTCTATTCATATCAAATCATGGATATGACTTATGCAATAATGGACTTGTTGGATAACAGTAAGCGGGTGATATGTTTTGGAAGTAGTTTCAGCTTTCCTATTGGAGAAAGAGAAGAGGTCAAAAAAGGAATCATAACAACTTGATTTGGAGGAGGAGGACTTTAAAGAGTGATAGACAATAGAATTAAATAAGTGGGGAAGAGTACGTACTATATATATATACTGATGAGATAATCATTAATTGATTATTGAAATGGAACAGAGTGGCACCATGTGGTAATAAGAGATTGTAATTGAGAGAGAGTGATCAGTACCACTTAAAGCTGAAACTTGTGTGCCCCATATTCTTCATTACAAAACCAATTATGTCTTATTGTAGTGTAGAGTGTAAGTAGACGGACCATCGAATTTTGAAATTCAGATTTGGTGTACCTTTGAAAATTCTTATCATTATGACTCGAGAGTCTACGTGTCTCTGAAAATGGTTTTGTTTTCTTTGATACTTTATTAATTAGGGTAAAAGCATATCAAATAATCAAAGACTATGATCTACGAAAATAAGACCACGCCACTATTTCACAGTAGTCTTGGCATTACAACCATATATCTAAAAGCAATATTGGATGGTGGGTGAGAACGAGTTAGTCATTTTTATATCTAGTACCATGACCATCCAATTATAACTCGTGTCTTTCATTTATTAGTTCTCAACTTCTGATGCGGAGTTTCTGACAAAATTACGTAACACTAAAATAAAATAATTATCTTATTGCAGTTAATTAATGGTTATTTACATGCAATCGATTCATAAAAAAAAAAAGTAGATTTTAAACTACAACTCTTTTTATGTTGTAATTAAACAAACTCTTTTCACTAGGACGTAATTCACCTCATTTGCATTAGTACTAATGTCGTATCATCATAATTTGAATTCAAATCCACATGCAAAACAGGGTTTCGAAGGAAGCATGGGCTTCGAATCTTACGTACATAGATATTTATTGGGCCGATTATTGAACTCATCAATTGGTTGCAAGCACTTACGTAATAATCATGTGGTATATGTATATATTTTCAGGGGTAATTAGTGCGTGATAGACTGATAGTTAGTAGTGGAGTCGAAAGAAAAATACTAATCTCAATTTTTATTAGTAGTTTGTTACTACTATACATGTTGTTCGCTTGTCCGTTAAGATAAAAGTCCGTTTAATCATAGTTATTATGGTTTTAAAATTTAAATCGATATTCAACCGATAAAACCAAAACAAATCCATCTCAATAAGAAAATCAAAAGTATCCTAACCGTTCCAAAGAAAAGAAAAAAAAAAAAAAACTGAATTTTGCGATAAAACAAATACTTTCTCATCTCACCCCAAAATCATCCCATTCACCATTTTGAAAAGGAAATTAAGGAATTGTTCATAGATTCGTTTGGGAATTGCAATTTTAGTAGTGATAGAATCAGATTAATTAGGGTTTGTTTGATCCTCGATCCGCGATCGATTGATCTCGCGTTTCACCAGCGGGTATCATTTTTTTATTCCATTATCTCTCTGTGTAATTTGTCAATGCATTTTATGTTTGCATGATGAATCTAAGGTTGCGTTGATTTATGATATACGAACAAAAAAAGAAGAAGCAAACCGTAGTATATATTTTATCGGAGAACGTTTGCATAACAAAATTAAAGTTTGATTCTGAAGAAAAAACAACAAGATCGAAGATAAATTATGTATATAGATGTTACAATGAAACTGATATTTCAGGTACATTTAATGAGCCTGGGAGATGGCTAAGATAATGCTTGGATCTCACTCGGTAAAGAGCCATGGATGGAAGGTGGCTCGAGAACATCTTTGTGACTGGCTCATCCTCGTAGTCCTCGGTCTGATCGACATTGTACTCAATGTTATCGAACCTTTTCATCGCTACATTGGACCAGACATGTTAACCGATCTCACGTTCCCATTTTATGAAGACACCATCCCTATGTGGGCTGTCCCGGTAAGTAAACTTCTTTACCAAGAAACCTATACCTTCATTGTGCCTTCCATCACAAGGAAGCAATGTGATTGTCGCTGATTGACAATTTATATGTATGGTGTGTGTGTAGATTATTTGTATATTGGTTCCTATATGCATCTTCATAGTGTACTATTACTATCGAAGAGATGTTTATGATCTTCATCACGCCATTCTCGGTGAGTTAATTTCTACTACTGATCATCTTCTAATGCATCAAGTCCTATAGTACTTGAATTCCAAACCGAAATCCATACAATTGATGAGCGTGATAAGAATGTTTGGAAATTGCGTATAGGTATCGGATTCTCATGTCTTGTGACTGGAGTCACCACTGATTCCATCAAAGACGCTGTTGGTAGGCCACGACCTAACTTCTTTTACCGATGTTTTCCCAATGGCAAACCGGTATGTACATTTCTATGGATCCATCTCTCTTAAGTCGAGGATTAATTAGTGTATCATGTATCATGAGGGAATTGTTTCTTATTTTGTGTGAATCTGAAAGAACTGCAGAAATTTGATCCGGATACTAAGGATGTTGTGTGTCATGGAGTTAAAAAGATAATCAAAGAAGGTTACAAGAGTTTCCCTAGTGGTCACACTTCGTGTAAGTTCTTCTAATAAAGTTTTTAAAAGACTAGTAACATATGAATTGATTCCGGTTTAAGTTAACCGCTTGATGATTACGGTATACATGCAGGGTCCTTCGCTGGTTTGACTTTCCTAGCGTGGTACTTATCGGGTAAAATCAAAGTATTTGACAGAAGAGGTCACGTGGCGAAGCTATGCCTTGTGTTCTTACCGATACTCATATCAATTCTCATCGGAATATCACGCGTAGACGACTATTGGCACCATTGGTCTGATGTCTTCGTCGGAGCTATCATCGGACTCATAGTCGCTTCTTTCTCTTACCTCCACTTTTTTCCATACCCTTACGACGAAAACGGTATTAAACCAAAAAAAATAAAATGTTACAAAAATTTACTATCATGTCATTGCTTTTGTTGTTGATAATATGATTATTTATATTTTAACAGGATGGGCACCACATGCGTATTTCAGAATGTTGGCGGAGAGGAGTACTGGTAGAGCCACGACAATGACTCGAACCGGTTCTCGGGGGACGTTGGACAACGACGTCGAGCCTGGCACCTCCGCCTCCTCGCCGCACGATCGCCACCGTGAAAGCACTGATTCTGACTTTTGAAAATTTCCTCCGCAATGTTAAAAAAAGTTAATTAGCCGTGTAGTTTCTAATTGTATGATTGTTGTCACTTACTGATAATATACATTGTTGTTCCTTCTCTTAACATATACATTTTTCATTTTGGTTTATAATGGATATATATAATTAGTATGTTATTAAGTTGACATTGTTGTTAACTATGTTTGGGAAATTTTGGTTTGGTTCAAATTGGTTAACTTCGATTCCCCAATTTCCTCTCTTGGGTTCCGGCTTCAACTTGCATCCACATTGGATCCGTATTAGTTAAGCAAAGTGATACTTCGTCCCAATTTGTATTATTTTTGGAGCAATCAAAGGTACTGTGTTAATATGTCTATAGTACTCTACTATATATAATCTGAGCTCACCACTTTTATAAAAAAATGAATAAAGATAAGCTTATGAAGAAGACTCATAATGTTCATGATTGTGGCAACTGGTAATGTTTAACCCTTTTTTATCAAGTTTCAACAGTCAAGTCAAATTTTGAGGGGAAACTTTGGGAACCGAACAATGTAACGTCCGGTTGAAGTAAACCGGACACTGTAACCGAAAATTATCCACATGGGTTTGGTTTAATTTTCCCATAAGGTCCAGATTCATCCGCCTTCTTCGGGATCCACTTCATCTGAACAGAGTATATTTTTCTCATCTTTAAGATGTCAAAAAATATAAAAATGAACAATTTTTTTTGTTTCTCATGACCAGACTTTTTTTAGTTTCCCCTATTTACAACTTAAAAAAAAAAGAAAAACCAGACTGTGAGTGGTTTTCTTAAACAAAATAATTACGATGTTTAAAATTAAAACTTCACACAGTGACACAACTATAAAATAGGTAAGAATTATTTTTCTATAAAACTTAGCGGAAAACATATTTCAGCAAGCTAGAATTATGTTTGGAACTCGTAAAGAAGTTTTAACTATGTCAAAGGACACAAAATAATCATACTATATAGTATATAGTACTGCTAAACATTCTACATCAAATAAAATAAAATTATCTAGTACACAGCTTTCTAAAACACAACCATCAACGCGTTATATTCTGATACAAATACACATTTATACTACTAAATTTCCAAATTGTATTGTTTTATTCAGATGTATACAATACTTTATTTATTTACCAATTGCCGACAAAAACTATAAGATCTTTTATTAATTAAAAACAGAAAACCCAATCTTAAAATTTCAGAAATACTTTAGTTTCGATACGCGTAAAGAGCTTTAGAGCTACTTTTTGTTGTCATTACGCATTAAGTTAATAAAATATGAATCTGATGGTACCAAATTTATAAATATAAATTACCTGGCGATGAATCATCTCTGTGAATTTCTCCAGCTCATCATTCTGCAGAGAATCTAACGTTACATCTTTTTTTTTTTTTTTTTTTAATACAAATCACAATTTATTTTTCTTTTTTTTAATAAAAAAAATCAATAACATATCTGATTACTAATTATTAATAAGAAAGTTATGTTTACGATTAATAAAGGATTAGTTTCGAATTATCAATATATAAATCCGTCCAACTAACCTATCCCGTCGTTATCGAACCATGGAGACCCCACTCCCTTCTTTATCGCAGCTAACCCCAAATCCTACTCCCGCCGCCGCCGTCTCTTCCGCTATTCCGGCGGCAGTCAAGAGCGTAGCCGTTCAGCAACCGATTGATGGATCTCCACGCGCCGTTGCTATTGATACCGGAGGTCATCCGGAGCCACTTCCGGCTGTTCCCGGCGCTAAGCTTCGTCTTATGTGTAGTTTTGGTGGCCACATCATGCCTCGTCCACACGACAAATCGTTGACGTACTCCGGCGGCGAGACTCGTATGGTCGTTGTTGATCGACGTGCGTCACTGTCTTCGCTCCGATCTCGTCTCTCCAGTATGCTTCTCAACGGCCGGTCCTTCACTCTCAAGTATCAGCTCCCTAGCGAAGATCTCGATTCACTCGTCACCATCACTACCGATGAAGATCTGGAGAATATGATTGAGGAATACGATCGCGCGACTTCTTCAGCGACGGCGACTGCTACGCAACGGCTCCGGTTGTTTCTTTTCGCTAATAAGCTCGAGACCGCCGCTACTATGGGGTCTCTGCTTGACGGCGCGAAATCCGACACATGGTTCGTCGATGCTCTGAATCAATCTGGTTTGCTTCCTCGTGGTTTATCAGATTCCGCCGCCGTGAATAACTCCTTGGTGAATCTCGACGAAGCTAGCGGCGGAGAGACCGAGATCCAAAACCTAGAAACTAATGTTGGTGGCGAGAACAATAAGCGGGCGGATTTGGTTGCTAACGGTGTGATTTCGCATCAGGAGATGCATATGAGCTCGATGCCTGATTCGCCAATGATGGAAGCCGCTGGCTCTTCGATAGGATCTTCTTCTTCTTCTCCTTCCACATCCAATTTGCCACCGATTCGCGTTAGAGTCAGTGAAGACCAGAGGATAGAGGAACAATTGGCACAGATGACCTTCTCAAATATGCAAACTCAGAGGCAATTTGATGATGGCGCAAGCTTGATGGCAAATCGGCCAATGATGATTCCGTCTGGTGCCATGAACGATGCTGCTACGATGGCGTATAACAACGCACCTAGTGATGGTGCGGCTGCTACAAGCAATGGCCAGGTTTCACCGGATGACGATCGATCCGATTCAGGTGTATCAACTGGCTACAGGAAGCCACCTTTGCCGATGCAACCAGTAGCGATCCCACCTAGAACTATTGGAGGGTATGGCTTGACATCCCCTGATTCCGTTGCAAGGTACTTTCATCTTCCCCTGGCCTCTCTCTAGTTATTTAGATAGCTCCAATGATCTAGGTAATATCTGATCTCAGCTTCTTGGTTTCTTCATCAATTTCTTTAGCTTGCCTTGAATTTGTGGTTGTCTTTGCACCGTTGCTGTTCTATGATCTTTACATGTGGTTTGTATTACATTCTGAATTTCTGATGGTAGGGTAAGTAGCTAAAAGAGATAGATCACTGGTTTGAAGTATGGTATATGAATCTATAATGGAGAAATCATTTTAAACTGTCAAACGCATAAGAATATTCTATGATCTTCATCCGCATCTTTGTTTTACACTATACAATCAGAGATTTTTCAATTTGTAGTAGTAGCTTTTTGTGTAGGTATTGGAATACTCTCTGATCTTCACATTGAACCATAACGTTATAAGAGTTTTTTACCTTTGTTCTTTTGAGCCTGATGATTCTAAATGCTGATATTTCTTGTTGTTTATACATTACAGTGATACTAGTATTTCTTCTGCTAATTCATTTTCAAAGCCGATGTACTACCAAGACCAACCTCCAGCTCTGCCAAGAGCTCCTCCAGTGACGCAGCCTGAAACCACATCAGTCCAAAGCTCTCAGGTCTTACCTCAGACTGAAAACACTTCAGCCCAAACCAACTCCCACGTCCTATCTCAACCAGGTACATATACAACTATGGATCAACAACAACACCAACCTCTGGCTCAACAACCTTTCTTACACCAAGGCGTTCAGTATATCCCTCATCCATCACAATACATCCCTGTTTACTCTCACCAGCAACAAAACTACCCTGTTTACGTGATGTCTGTCCCGCAATCTCAGCAGTATATCCCAGCAGGAACTCCCCCACTCTACCCAAACTCAAAACCTGCCACAAACTCGAGGCCTGAAGCTGCCCAGAACGTTTACCGTGCCGCTCCCCCTCAGGTTATTCAGCTTCAGCAACAGCATCAGTACATGGGTTACGCTGGAGCTCCTCAACATAGCACAAACGCAAACGCCAATTACGGTACTGGAGCTCCTCAACATAGCACAAACGCAAACGCCAACTACGGTGTACCCTATGAATACACAAACTCCCCAAACGAGACAGTGTATTACCACACACAACCTCCTGCTGCCAACACTGCCATTCCATTAGCGTCTCCATACCAAAGCATGACACCAGCAGCAGCCGCAGCAGCTCTAGCCGATATGTCCAAGCAAATGGCTCTTGACGGCGGCAAACAGCAACAACATATGGCTGCGTCTCAGCCGCTTTAAACGCTGGATCTTTGGTAATAAACGCGCAAAGTGTTAAGTATAGCCGACACAGCCCGCTCTGGTCTTTTTGCTTATTACACATGTAACGTCGTGTTACATCTCGTTAGATATACATAGGATTTGCTATTTCATTGTTCTTATCGTAGTTTGCTAATGACACTCTCTTTTTCTATATTTGATAAATAAAAAATGTTTGGATAATTTTTCTAAGTTGTATGTTGGAATTTATCTTGATCCGAAGATTACACAAAAACCCAAGAAATGGAACCAGTATATAGTATATACTACGGGATACATAGGATAGAACGATCTTCCAATAACACATCTGACAGTTTTACACAACGTAAATTCAATTGTTCTTCAAACAAAGCTATTCAAATTCAATTTTTCTTCAAACCAGTATATCTATTTTGTGGATATCTTGTTTTCACACAATCAGGCATGTTTCGTTGGTTTAAAATAGAAGTGAAAAACATGAGGTTTGGGAACAAGCAGTTGTCACTGTTGATCAATCTGAAATCCCTCTGGTTCCAGTTTGGGAAGAAGGTGAAAGCTCTAATTCTCCTCCCAGGAATCCCTCTCAAAGCTCAGATGTCTCTTCTCAAAGGACCAATTTCACAACCTCCTATGTAGTATACCCCTCTGCTTATTCAACAAGATGTGGACCGGAATCAGTTACTGAATCCTCATCAAGTGACAACAGGGCTTGTGCAGGTTGTGCAAGAAACAGAGGATCTAAGGCTAAAATTGGAGAATGTTCAAAACGTAAAAGTTCTTAAGTGAAGAATATGGAAAAGCAAATGGTATCAAGTTTTGTCCGGTTAACCAACAAGCTCCTTAAAGTCTCAAGTTATGATACTAACTCAGAGAATCACTGATCCTTACTCTGAGTTACAATTTCTTGGTTTCTACGTTGTTGTGGTAGGAAAAATAAAGATGTGCTTTAGTTCTGCTAAGTTCTTGATGGTGGATCCTTTTGAAAGGAAACTTGCTAGTTGTGGCCGTTTCTTTTATCTTAATCAGTGTATATTAGGGTGTTTTCTTTAGTGCAGTGAAAATTTTATGAAAATGAAGACAACTAAGGGTCAAGTAACAATCACAGTCACAGCAAAGGAGCCAACTTGTCGAGTTTGAGACAACGCACTTGGTGTTTTCTTTCAGTTTGATCATTTGTTTGTGTTTTAGTTATCTTTGTAAAATATTAGCTCAGGTTAATTTGGGTTTGCCTCTCCTCAACAGTTTCTATTCTACACACACTTGTAATAAGTTATCATCTATAAAAAAATACCATCCTTGAAAGAAAAAAAAATAGTTTTTACAGCTTTACGACAAAAAAAAAAATATTTACAGCGTTTAAGCCAATTCCCTCTTTTGTACAATTGGGATTACGAACGGCGACCTAAAACCCTAAATCTCTCTGATCCGCCATGAGAGGAGCTCTCTTCAGGAATGCATCTCTCTGCGCTCGCAGATTCATTCTTTCTCCTCGTATAACCCATCAGATCTCCCCCAATGTTCCCTTTCTCGCTCCAATCGCCTCTCCAGCTCCTCTCAAATTCAGTTTTTTCTCCTCCGAATCCGACTCGTCCGGTGAAAACTCGACTACTGCCCCTGATTCTTCGCCGAGTGAATCCTCCGATAAGAAGGATCTCGTTGTAGAAGATGTAAGCAACAAAGGTAAACCACTCTACTCTCTGTTCAAGCTTGTGTGGCTTCCTCAAACTTGAAATGTTAGATTCATATATTGGTTTTGGTGGTCTCAGAGCTTAAAAGCCGTATAGAGAAGTATTTCAATGAGGGTAATGAAGATGCTTTGCCCGGAGTTATTGAAGCACTTCTACAGAGAAGACTTGCTGACAAACACGCAGAGACTGATGATGAATTGATTGAAAAAATCGAGACTTTACCTTTCAAAGATGATGTCAAGGATGAAGATTTTGAATCTGATTTCGAGGATGCGCATTCTACTGACGAAGAGCTTGAGGATTTGTACAACTCTCCCGAGTATGTAGCTGAAAAGATGAGGAAGAATGAATTTTTCAACATGGACGATAAGAAGTGGGATCACATGATTAGAGAAGGCATCCAACATGGGTGTCTTACCGATACTAAGGAATGCGAGGAGATTCTTGAGGATATGCTCAAATGGGACCAGCTTCTTCCTGGTAATGCTTGTTTTCAAATTCATCTTCCCGTTCGACTTACATCCTTAGGCATAGATATGTTTGAATACCTACTAGGAGCCTTTGAGTGGCTGATTAATAGAATCATGTGCGCCTTATAGCTAAACACACTCTCTTAGTGGGACTTAGCTTTTGTAGTTAAGCTTTTTTTTTTAACTCTTTGAAGGTAATGTACTATGCCAAATTAGTTGCTTCTCGAATCAGTAGGGTCGTTTAGCGAACATGTTGGTTTGTTCCTGTCATGTGTACATATGAACATCCGCTTAACTGTATGTTCATTAGATGACTTGAAGAAAAAAGTTGAGGCAAAGTTTAATGAGCTTGGGGATATGTGTGAAAGAGGTGAACTTGAGGCTGAAGCAGCTTATGAGCTTTTCAAGGAATTTGAAGATGAAATGGTAATTCAGTATGGGGATCAAATGGAAGCTGAGGGTCCTCCCCAATTTGGTGAAACAGATGCTTCCGATAGGAAAACTGACTTGGATGATCCCCCCGGTAAAGGCCCAATCCTCAGGTGGCAGTCAAGGATAGTTTTTGCTCCTGGAGGTGATGCGTGGCATCCAAAGAACAGGAAAGTGAAAATGTCTGTTACAGTGAAAGAGCTCGGGCTCTCAAAGCATCAGGCTAAAAGGCTAAGGGAACTTGTGGGGAAAAGATACCATTCGGGGAAAGACGAGCTTACAATCACCAGCGAAAGGTATAGAACTAGAAATTTTAAGCTTTTCACGAGACAAGAATGTTGAATCATGAAATGTTTTTGTCCTGTCACAGGTTTGAACACCGAGAGGAAAACAGGAAAGACTGCTTAAGAACTCTTTACGGGTTGATAGAGGAAGCTGGGAAAGCCAACAAGATCGCTGAGGACATAAGAACTTCATATGTAAAACAGAGACTCCGAGCCAATCCAGCTTTTATGCAGAAACTACAAGCCAAGATCATAAGGTCTAAAGAATCAGATGCCATCAACGCCTGAAAAAGACTTTTCCCGCCTTTTCTTCTTGTCTCACCAAATAATCTGTAGGATCGTCTCTTTTTTGGCAATCAATTGATCCGGATCCATGAAATTTTTTTGATGGTAACTCCTATTTTAGTTTGGTTTGCTTATTGTATCTCATGAAGACATGAACCTTGAGACTAGTCAACGCTTTCTTAGAATTATGAATCTCTCTTAAAGTTAAGGTTCTGGATATGTTGTTTACTGGTTCAGAATGAAAGTGACCAAATGTATTATTTTTTTTGCTTTAATATACATCTATTTTCCTTACACTTACTAAAAAAGAAAGGAGCTGTATAGAGATAGTACAAAAGTAAAGTGGTCGACTGTTCTGTTTTTATTTTCCCGACGAAGACAAATGAATTCTCAACCACAACCACCTCCGCAACCTGCACCGCCACAACCTCCGCCACCGGTAGAGTTTCCGGAAGTGGCTCTGTTGTCGGAGGCTCCATCGGCACACGAGAATAACAGAGCCGAGAGGATACAAGAACCAATCACAGCCAAGAAGACAACATGAAACAGGTAACTAGCATCGAAATGTGTTGTTGTGGTGGCCATGCTCATTACATCTTCTAATAAGTGTCTCGCCATCTCTCGTTCTCTAGTTGATGTGGATGAGGTTTAAGGTTTTTAACGTGAAAAGCTTTCCTACTTATAGCCGATAAATTCATACGTAAGGCCATTGACTTTTAATAAATTATTCGAGCAGTAAGTAAGATTTCTTTGTTTAAAATATAAAAGAGAGACTCCAATACAAAGACTTACCATAAAAGTCACCTATTTTGGTACTACAATTCTCCTCTCCCCTTCTAAACACATTTGACTGTGGACTCCCCTACATTAGTTGGTGATCGCATCCAGTTTAATTGTAATAATTTAGAGTTGAAGATTATGTTTTTAATAAAACTATAAAACCTTGAGGTTCGAGGTTAGGCTTATTTAATTTTTTAGGTCAAGATTATGCATGGTTTTTAAGAAATTTAAAGTATAATATTTGATCAATTATACATACATAGTTATCTTTTTGTGCGAATACATACATAGGTCAAGATTATGCATGGTTTTTTCGATGAAATTTAGTTGAAGATAAGGGGTTTTGAACATTCTAAACTAGGGTAAGAGTAGTCAAATACAATAATCTATATAATGTGTGGATCAGCATGATTTGCCTCGTATTTTATTTTTATAATTTCTTCTTTTTAGTTGTTAATTTTTAAGTAATTGTTCAGGACACTTGTTAAATCCAAAATATACAAGTAAATCATTGGATAATAACTTTCGTCAAAAGAATTTCTGTACTGTTTAATTATTTATCATTGGTTATTTTAGGGAGTTTATCAAACAATCTACAAAAGAAGAGAAAAAAAAATATCAATTGGTTATGCATCTCTCTCTCTCTCTCTCTCTCTCTCCCCTATTTCACGTGGACTCCATTTTTGTTGTTTGTACAAATTTGACCATTACGAAATCAAATTCTAATTAAAGGACTTTCGACGTGACCCAATGTTCTTCCCTCTTTTTCATATGGCATCTTCTTCTTCTACCACTAATCAAATTTAATTCAAATGGATATGTTATTTCGTAATCTAAAAGCTTCCGAAACTTTTGACAAAACAAGAATATATAACTCGTAATATAGATTTTTATATATACATCAAACTGCCAAAAATACCAAACTTCCAATTTTTACCACAAAATATCAAACTTTTCATTTTATAAGTAACTAACTTTCTAACAAAACTTATAAAATTCTATACCCCATATTTTTGACGTAAGTACAGTTTTAACCAGCTAGGTGTGAGGCTGTGAGCATTGATTTTTGGGTATATATAGTTCCGTTCATGTTTTTCAGATGTTTGGAAAAACTAAAGTTCCTTAATAAAAGAAAGATTGAAAATTATATTGCGTTAGAGTAGTCGATGTCAAGCGAGAGAGAAAGATAGAGTCGGAAATTTTTCGATTTTGAATTACAATTTCAGGATTTTACTGTTACCAAATGAAAATTTGTAGGTTAAAACAAAAGTCTAACTCCTACTCATTATCAACATTGTCATTTTCAAAATAACAAAATCTGTTTGACAATTTTGTAGAAAGATTGTTATCTATTTTAGACAAAGTTTGGTATTTTAAAGTTTGGTATTTTGGACAAAAAAACGAAAATTTGGTTTTTTTTTTTTGTATTTTTCCCCATACATAAAACAAACGTATCTTGATATTTATCCGACCAATTTTGCATACTTTCGCTTTCGATTTAAGTGTTTTTTTTTTTCTCTTTTTGATAGAAGAAAGTTAATTTAAAAAAAAAATAGTTCGGTTTTGGCAAATATTAACATTATTATAAAAAATAACAAGTTTTAGGACTGCGATGGTGATATAATATTATGTGCAACCAGTTTTGCAGCGATGATGATACCCGCTTTTCAAGTTATTTGGTCGATTTATAGTTTATACTCAATATTACTCATCAAGGTTAAAACTAGTTAGACCAACCATTAATCAGAGAAAGTTACCATAAACAAGTTCTAATTGTTAATTATTTCCCTAGGCTTGATTCACAATTTCACATCATTATTCCATTTGATGATCATGATCAGATCTTAACTTCTTCTACTTTTTGTTTCAGTAAAAACAAAACCAGTAACAGATATGTATATTAATTTGGGTTGAGGTCGCATAAATACAGTAGCAATCATATTATCTCTATAAGTAAACAATGATCAGAATTAAGTAAATTTCTTGTTCTTGACAGTTCCTCTTGGGATTTTACTAAGAACATTCGAATCGACTTTCTTGTACAGCTTTTTCATCTTCCTCATCCATTTACCCGCCACTCTATCCACGTCGTCCTCGTACATCTCATACATAACCGGTAAGGTGTGCATGCTTACAAACCCTGAACGGCACGACGTCCAATTATTCCGTTAATTAATAAAAGGGAATTATATCTACATATATAGTTGAGTATGATGACTTTATTCTTACCTAAGAACAGAAAATTCACAAAGTTGAAATATGTCCCGATGATGGATAGGATATAGAGTGAGATGGTCGTCTGAAAATTAATATTAGTACCCAATGTAAGCAAAATAATAATAATTAAGTAATCCAAAATTTATATTAGTAGAAATGATTAAATATAATATCTTACGAGGAAAAAGAGTGGAGGATCTCTTCCACAAGCAATGTCAAGAAGCTTCGCTAAGATTTGGTTGAATCTAACATGAAAGCTTCTTGCTAATTGTTTGAAAGATGATTCGTCTAGTACCACTTCTGGTATTATTGGCCTTTCCCTGCATTTTTGTTTATTTATTAAATTTATTGTTGTATTATTGATAAGGAACTCTTAAAAAGATTAATCGAGTAATTATAGATATAAACTAACCAGTTGAGAAAATCAGAAGCAGTGGACCAAATGAAGAAAAGAAGCATGGAGGTCATGGAAGCATGACAAATTAGGGTTATGAAATTGTATCCCACTACTTCCATTAAGAACCATAAGAGGCTCACTCCTATCACCAATGTTGCTGCTGTTTTCGGCTCTCTCCATAATAAAATATCAGCAACTGTTATCACAAATACGAATTGTTAAATGTTCTTGTTTGTCTACATTATAATTTGGTGGTAAGTTTGGATAATAGCAAATGTGGTATTTGAAGAGAATTGATGGATATAAACATGTGCGTTTACCATACACATAACAATCGAACCGATAAAAAAGTTTAAAAGATAAATACCTTTACCACCTCCAAATATAGAGTGAATCGATCGTTGACGAGTGAAGAGCTTAGTTGTTTTATGGATCGTTCTTTCGTCTTCAGAATCGGAAGATCCCGTAAATATTGGCATGATTAGATGAAATTTATTAAGATAAAAGTTTTTACGGTAAAAACAACAATGAAAATGAAAGTGATGGATTATGTAAAATAGTTGTTTTGGATTTTGGAGAATATGGGAAAAGCAACAAATATAAGAAGAAAGAGGAATAGAGAGGTTCTAGGCTTGGGAACAAAGGTAACAAAAACATATTCAAGAAGCAAAGAATGGGAATGGTTTTGGCCTTGGTCCTTCTCCCATTACTTCTTCATCTTCATCTCTAAATAAACTATTCAAACCCCTCACGTTGCATATATTTTAACTTCAATCTTCCTTAAAACGAAGGAGAGTGCCTTAAAACCAATGTTGCTCGTAGAAAAATTGAACGGAATTCATTGATAAAAAAACTTAAAAGACTATATGTTTAGTGTATTGTGTAGCATCTACAAAACTTTATGTGTTTTCCATCATATATAACAAATTAACAGTTAAAAATCATCTTAACTTGAAAACATTTTCCAATTATAGATATGGTTCTGAAAAATAGGATGTAACATTTGAAAATTTTAATTAAAATTTTTAATATTTGAATACACGAAAATAATTCAAGTGACTATATTTAAACGCTAAAATAAGTCTTAAAGCCTAAAAGCCAAAATGTTTTCGATCGTATCTTCTTCTTCTTCACTCGTCAATTCAACTCTAAATATCCAAAATTCGCCGAAATCTCCGATCTCCGTTATGTCGGCGACGTCTAAATTCAAAACCCTAACGGAGAATTTCACCGTGAGGGTGCTAAAAGCAGAGAATCGCGAACTGAACGTGCCTCTGCTCTCACCTTTCACTATCGCTTCTTCACGGCTTGATTCAGTCAATAACGTTGCGATTCGGATTGAGCTTAGCGATGGGTGTGTCGGTTGGGGAGAAGCTCCGATTTTGCCGTCGGTAACGGCGGAGGATCAGATAACGGCCATGGTAAAAGCGCGGGAAACTGGTGAGTTTCTGAGAGAGTTACCGGATATGAAACTTGGTAATGCTCTTAAGGAGATCGAAAGATTTCTCCCTGGTCATCAATTTGCTTCTGTAAGTCTGACATCTTGTGCATGTCTGCTGAATCAAATGCGATTTAAGCCGTTGAGGCTAAAGTTGTGATTTTGAGCTTATGTTGAATTGGGTTTTACATTGGCTTTGATCTTTCTCTTTAAGGAAGAAAATTTCTGAAATGGGTTTAGGTAAGAGCTGGGATGGAGATGGCTATGATTGATGCTGCAGCAAAGAGTGTAGGAATGCCATTGTGGAAACTATTTGGTGGAGCTTCAAGTATTATTACTACCGACATTACAGTTTGGTTCTAACCTTTGCTCTTCCTGGTACAATTCACCTTCATTTTCTGTGTGTTTGCAAAACATAATGGAAAAGTTTCCAGTTGTTGAGAATTTCTCTAAAAGTATAAATAACTATTGAGTCTTACTTAGACTCTATGTGTTAACACTGCACTTTTAGGTTTTGAAGATGGGATTTTGAATTGTTTGTAGAATGTTAATGGCTTGAAAACACTGGAAAACTACTCAAGTATCATAGTTTGTGTGATTTTCACAGATGTGGGTTTAAAAGGATGTTTGTTGGTCTATGCTCAGATTCCTATAGTTTCTCCGGAGGAAGCGTCTACTTTGGCTTCAAAGTATAGAAAACGAGGTTTTGAAACCTTGAAGCTCAAGGTCGGGAAGAATCTTAAGGCTGACCTAGAAGTTCTCCAGGCTATACGTGCAGTCCACCCTACTTGTTCCTTTATTTTGGATGCAAATGAGGGTTATCAAACAGAGGAAGCTGTTAGAGTTCTCGAGACGCTGCATGGTAAAAAGGTTTCTGAATCATTTTTGAGTCTTCTCAGTTAGGTATTGAGCGGTAGAGGGTTTTTAAAAAGCATTGGTGTTTGGTAAACTCCCAGCCTGTTCAAATTTTTAGCCGGCCTTTCGTTTCTCGGTTAAAACCTGAGTTGTTGTGATTGTTTTGCCCAGAAATGAAGGTTACACCGGTTCTCTTTGAACAACCCGTCCACAGAGACAATTGGGAAGGTCTCAGTCACGTGACTCGAACTGCAAAGAACAGATTCGGAGTCTCTGTTGCAGCAGATGAGAGTTGCAGAGGCTTGACTGATCTCAAGAAAATCATAGAAGGTGGTTTCGTAGATGTTGTTAACATCAAACTCGCCAAAACCGGAATCCTCGAGGCCCTTGAGGTAATTGAATTGGCTAAGTCATCTGGAATTGAGCTTATGATGGGGGGAATGGTGGAGACTAGATTAGCAATGGGGTTCTCCGGTCACCTTGCTGCCGGCCTTGGATGTTTCAGGTATACTTAAATATGTAAACACCACATTACTTTCTAATGTGACCATCATAATTCTAACACGTTAAGAAGGAATACACAGATTCATCGACTTGGACACTCCGCTTCTTCTGTCTGATGATCCAGTTCAAGGTGGCTACAAAGGTAAAATAGTCTCTGTTTTCTTCATCTTGCATCTTTCCCTGTTAAAAAAAGATGATAGAAATTCAAAATGAACAAGTGCAATGCTTGTGGTTTTGTTGGCAGCTTGGGGCGCTGTCTACGAGTTTAACGATGAAGGCGGTCACGGAGGATATCTTCAGTGGAATGATGTTGCTTAGTGAAATTCCTTCAGTCTACTTAGGTTCCTTTTCTTTTGGTGTCATAGTATGTCAATCTCAAGTTTAATGTTGATTTTGGGTTTTGGAAAGGCTAATCTTGGTCCTAAATTCTCAGTATGTGTTAGTTGAGAGTGTATGTAATATACAAGCTTTGTAATTTCAGCCCCAGGGAGTAGCAAATAAATGTAGGAAATTCATTACACTGATCTTGATTGATATCTGTCTGAAACACACACACAACACAGGTCTAATTTACAGAGATTGTTATAGATCACAATTAAGTGCTTCTTGTTTCGATCTCTTGCGGCCGTTGAAATTTGTTCAGCTTGATGAACGTATCTTTGATTATTGGGGATTTCAATTGCAGAGTCTGTTTTGTCAACTAATCACAGACTTTTATTTTAGTCATTATTGTGTGTGTTAATATAGAGAAAGTGAAAATGAATTTGCTTTTCTTTTTTTTGGGCAAACATATTTTATAAATCAAAGGCAAGCCTTAAGAGTAAAACTGGTAGGTATGGTGGTGAGTACTGGTGACTGGTGAGGCGTGAAAGTCTCAATAGATTTCTGGTAAAGGTCTAATTAAGTACTGGACTGGCTATTTATTTTATTTTTTAATTACAGAAAAATAAACTGTCAATAGAAACAAACAAATTACAAATTATTTATTCAAATTGTATTGGTAGAAGTTATTTTTTGATAATCGTTTTTTCTAAAAGCAACCAGCACCATCTACAATTTTTTTTTTTAATCTCTAATATCAAACATGCGGTAAGATAATTATTAATGCACTAGTAGGAACTTGTAATAAAACATTTACACAATATATTACATATAAGAAGAGAAAAAAAAAAAAGAAAAAAAAGAGCAATAATAACAACCGAAATTGTGACACACTAGGCGTGAGAACCTTAAAGTTTATATCACGATAGATGATTGGACCCACTTTCTATCAAGAGATTCAATACTATTTTTTTGCCATGTTTCTCAGTGATAAAGTTATAGTTTCGTTGTTAAAAAAAGTCAATCTCCATTTTCTAGTTTTTGATGAAAAAGAAAGAGTAAAAATATAGTGACATCAACCCTCAAAGTCGAAGACACATGTTTGTATGAGCTTTAACAACAACAACCAACCAATGTGTGAAGTGTGAACATATGTGTAGTGAGCTACGCACCAAACATTCCATGTTCTCCTTGTAGTTTCAGTTCAAATGCTACACTCAAGAGAGAATAGGATATGTTCATTAATTTACTACAATTGTGCTAAAAAGGAACTGCAAAAGAAGAATGTTCAATGAGTGATTGTGGCAATGATTATTCACACGTATCCCAAAACGCACGCTTCATCTCAATATCATCATTTTGTAAATAAATATTAATTATTTGATGTTGTTTTATATTTATACATTTACAAATTCTACAATATATATTTGATCCCAGTGTGTGTGTGTGTGTGAGAGATTCATTGAAGTAATAATGACGATAAAGGAGACGGCAACAAAAATTGGCACGACACCAAGTAGGCAAGTACCATCACCGAAAGTCCTCGGCGCCTCTTTCGCCTCCTAAGTCTTCCCACTTCGACCCCACTTTTTTTTTTTCGTTTGTTAAATTCTTTCTTTTGTGAACCCATATAAAAAAAGTTTGTTTCATGGATAAATATATCGTATTTGTTGTGTGTTTTGTAGTGAAAATGTTCACTCTTATCAATTAGTTACTGTTTGTCGATAAATAGAGAGGAGTTAAAAATATATATGTAGTTAGATATACATATTGAGTGTTGATTTATATTTTATACTCGTTTTCTAAACGTTTTGTCTCACTTTGTAGTGCTTCTTTCCACTCAAAACAAGAAAAAGAGGGAGTAAGCAAACCACACCAATACAATGACTAAAAACGTTGACAATTAAAACAAGAAAACACTGAAAACAAATGAATATAATTAAGATATTAGTGTCGCATTTTTTTTAAATACTTTCCCCCATTTTACCCATGGATCTTGATTAATGTTCCAATGCATGATAAAAAATTTTGAGCTCTTTATTAACAACTCAGCAAAAGGTCATCCACCAAACTTTTAGATTATAAATATGTTCTTCCAATGCTAAACTAAAATGAAAACAAAAATCGAAAAAAAACGAAACAAAATAAGAGGCCGCACTATAAGCAAGTGTGCACTAATAGATTAATTATACACTGGTTTATAAAATATTTTCAATCCATATATTTCTTAATAAATAAATAAAAAAACTAATAAGAAAAACCATTTCACTTTCCCACTCTATAAATAGAAAGGAGATGTCAAAACCCAAAACACACCAAAACACATTTCTATAAACTCAGAAACAAACAAAAGATCAAGAAGAAACATGGTGATGATCAAGACCACATGGGTTTCCCTTTTTGCTCTAGCGACGGTTCTCCTAATGATTCTTGCCCCGGCGGCAGAAGCCGTGACATGCTCGCCAATGCAGCTAAGCCCATGTGCAGCGGCGATAACGTCGTCTTCTCCACCATCGGCTTTGTGCTGTGCAAAGCTGAAGGAACAGAAGCCATGCCTATGTGGTTACATGAGAAACCCTAGCCTCCGTCGCTTCGTCAGCTCTCCCAACGCTCGTAAAGTCTCTAACCGTTGCAGACTCCCCATCCCAAGGTGTTAAAAAACAGAAAAGTGTTTGCTGTTTATGATCATCCTATATATGTCTCAATCCTACTTTTGGTGTGTGTTTAAGGATGTTTATTTATTATCTCTAAGTAATAGAGCTACTCTTGCGAATAACAATGTGTGGTGATGCTTTGTATGCATCTTATTTCAATTTTTGCTATCTTATTCTGGTTGTTGTTGACATATATTGTATGATGGTGTAATAATTAGTAAAAAGAAAATATATTTCATAAACACAAAAGAATGAATTATGGATACATGAAAATCACAGTACAAAAGAACACACCATTTTGTCTGGTCTGAGACACAAACTCCAGCTAGTATTCACAAGAGAAAATCTGGGATTTCGACTGGTTCCGCTGCACTTGCTTCTTTGTCTGATCGTCGTCGTGATCTATGCTTACTACTTTTCTCCCCGTTTTTCTTCTTTGTTTTATTCTCTCTTCCCGAGCTACGTCCTTTAATCCTTGAATCAAGATCTCTCTCGTGGTTATATTTTTCTCTTTCCTTCTCCTTTCCTTTCCCCATTAGAGCGGTCTGGATCGCAAGAGACAGAGGTTCATCGTTACTACTAACATTTGGCTTGGTCTTTAATTCATCCCCTTCGTCCAGTTTCACCACTACAGGTCTTGGTTTCGATTGGTTCCTCTTCTTCTTGTTGTTAAATGAGTCCGCAGATATCTCATTTGCTGGTGGGTATTCGTTTAGCGTGTTGTTGTTGTCGCCATTGCTATCATTGTGGTCATCGCTCTTCTGAGAGGAGAGGTAGTACAAGCCATGACGTTTTCTGTGTTCCGCAAGTAAGGATGCAGATTCAGGCGGATGAGATGAAGAAGATGATGAGGCTTCTTCTTGATCACTGATTCTAAGTTTAGCAACAGAGAAGCTGATATTTTCTGAGGAAGAGAACGAATTAGAATTTGAATTTGAGTCCACCACTGGTTTGAGAAATTCTCCGCAAATCTCTTGCAGATCTTCAAGACTCTCTTTCAGCTCTAACCCATGCGGCAAGGGAACTTTTTCCTGTGCAGTTGAAGTAACTGGGCCAAGCTCTTCTGAGAAAACATCTTCCATGAATGCTACAGCTCTAGAAGCCTCTGTTTCACTCTCTTGAGTGGTTACTTTCTCGGCTATTTTGTGTTTTATCATACCGATGAATCCTAAAACGTTCTTAGCTCTCTCCTGCACTTCAACATCTAGGGTCCCAGATAACGAGCACAACCCAAGCTCAATTATATTCACCAGACTTGATATAGATTTGTATGTGATACCATTCACCGGTGAAGAGCCAGAGCTAGCAGACTCCTCAAACAAGGGAGAGGAAGTGGGCTCCTGGGCTGAGAAGTACACCCCGAGACTGAAGACAAGAACTTTGAAAGTAGAATGTATGTAGATTGCTCTAACTGAAGGTGCTAAGAGAGAAGTACGTGGTTGCAGAAGCGCCTCTGCAATTTCATAAGGGGTCTTAGAGAACTCGACAAATTCCCCTGAAGCCCAAGCAGCAGCAGACAATATCGGGTGCAAGAACTGATTACCAAGCAATGCAGGATCAATAAGCAGCGCTCGAGAAACACGAACTAGCTCCAGTCTAGCATCTTTGACCCTCGTACCAATATCAATCAACTGATGCCCAATTTCTTGCCCTCTTTGACAATGTGGGATTCTGGCCATTTCACCAAGAAGAGACAAATACCAATCAAAGTCAACTATGATCTCATATGAGTTCCGGGAGCATGCCAGTAGAATAGAAGCTATAATCTCGTTGCAAAACAAAGGGTCAGACTTAATAGCATAATTCATAAGAATCCGAGAAATCTCGGACACATTATCTTCATTCACCATTGACATTAAAAGATGCAAAGCCTCGAGTTTAACATTTGGATCCTCATCGCTTAGAGCCTTGACGACAGCTTCTTTGTTCTCCAAAACTGCCCACAAATGCTTTGGAGCAACAATCGACAAGGCATGAAGACCGAGGTACTTGAGATTACGATCATCGTCCACAAGAAACTCCCGAATCTTAGCAACAGCAAGTTTCAAAGCCGTTTCCTGATCGCTCAAGCTACTCACCACGGTTCTAATACACTCAAACAACAAAGACTTTCCCACAGTCCTCCTCATAAGTTCACAGATTGGATCAGCCACCTTCTTAGCCAACCTAGGCTCAACCAAAGCCAACTTAGCAAATATTTTAAGAACCTTGATCAGATCCCAATTGTTCCTCGAATCAACCAAAATTTTGTAAAATTCAGGAGCTAAAGGAAGATAGGATCTTGGATCTTTTGTGGTGAGTTCACAGAACACTCCAACCACAGCTGACAGAATCTGCGGATCAGAGCTCTCCAGATTCTCGACAAGGCGCTTAAAACATACCTTAACAGCATCGTGGTACTTATCGAAAACCCTCAAAACCACACCAATAGCTTTCTTCTTAACCAAAGCCTTACTACTACCTAAAAGCGTAAAAACCTCAGAGGTTAAATCCCTAGCTAGATCATCAGTTCCAATCCTAGACAAACATTCCAGAGCTAGACTCACCTCGTGCTCATTCGAACTATTCAAAT